AATAGAAGAGGATCGGTGAAATTAAAATTTGTCTAAGAGATAAAAGACATTCATATCAAGAAAATGTTTTTTATGATATACATACTTGGTTTAGATTTGGAAAATAATTTATTAGTTGTTCAAGACATTTGTTACTGTATAAACAATCGAGTGTACTAGTAAGAAGACCATCAAATGGAGTACAACCACTTAAAAATCCATCGACAACGCCAGAAATGTTAGAAGAAATAAAAGATAAGGGAGTATCAGGCCAGTAGTTATTATAAATATCCCTCAAGTCATATGGTACTGAATAGAGTATACTAGGTACAAGTGAGTTCATTAAGTTGCAACTGTATATGTCTTTTAGATAAACAAACTTGGGCATATTCTTGCGATAGTAAACCGTAGGTTTTACAGCTAATAAAAGTATTTGATTATCATCCATCGTAAGTATGGACAAATCCGTCGTAGTTATTGATAATTGTGCATTTGTATTTAAAGCAGAGATTAACGAATTGGATTGCGTTATTATTTGCATGAAATTTAAAGATGAACTTATTTGTACATATGTATTCGCTCGAATAAGTTTTATATTTTCAATTACTTGAGATTGAACTTCATCTTCTACAAGAAGTTCAATGGTAAGCAATTGTTGTTGATTAATATCAGTAAGAACTTGAGAAACAAATTCTTGAGAAAATGAACAAAATGCACCAAGTAATTCAAACTAAATTCAAAAAAAACAAATTCCAGTAAATACATAACGATAGAAGTAATAGAACTTACTTGAGAATAAGCTGTTGTTCGAAAGTCGATTATAGGAAAAGAACTGGCATATGGTATATAGAGTGATTGTATCCATTCTTTACTAACAAAAATACTTGAACAAATAGGATCTGTTGATAATGTATTGAGAACGAAGTTTTCATAGGATATTATAGTTGTTGAACATGGACATGAAAGTGTTTCACCATGTTCATGTCGAAGTTGATCGAATAAAGATGGAGTAATATCCGAAATTGTTACTATGTCAGTTTGTGGATTAACAAAAACTGTGAAGAAGATAACGTATATAGACACTACAAAAACAAAAAGATCTCATCTAACAATAATAATTATCTTCAGATGTATATACTTACATATAAGAAGAAGAATATAAAGTCTAGTTGCATATCTTTGATGTCGAATGGTTCCTAGTGTATGATTGACTTCTTCATTGTCTTCGGGTATGAAAAGATTGTAAGTCGATATTTTTTCATACAACCATTGCATTAATACTTTAATATTCATTATAGTTTATGTCTTGCTTAGTAAATGAATTTTATCATATGAATGGCATTCAGTATGAAAAAAAGTATATATATATAACTCATAATCATAGTGTTTTTTCAACCAAAATTAATTTTATATCAAGAACTTTAATTTTATGTTTTGCGTATATCGATTTAAATTAATATTATTGACGTCAGCACATTAGTATTCAAAATTAATTTTATATCAACTTGGATGGAAACAAACGTCACAATCAACACTTAAGAAAATAATTGTTTTTTATATTCTATAGTATATAACGTCACGCACAGAGCGCGTGGTTCTCTTAACTCAATGTTGGTAGAAAAAGAAAAAAAGTATTCGCTTAAATACGATAAAAATCCAGCACAAATTTTATCAAATCACCGATTATGAAGGATGGCTGTGAAAATATCTGCAATAGAACACACGTACACTCAACTTAAAAGACTGAATATGCATGATATCATATTTGATTGAAGTACATATTTCGATGTGACGCATGTGCTATGTGTAAATAAGTTGGTATTGTAATCTTTATTCCTCATCAAAACTTAACAAGACATCAACTGTAAAACGGTAGTAGATGACTTTGAAAGCATAGTCTTCGTTAAAAGGAAAAATGATGATAAAAGTTTTATTTTATTATTCCTTATTATTTATTGTCAAGTAAAATATATCATTTTATAAAATTCAATTCATATATAAGAATTTTTGTTTTTTTTTAGTTTTTCAGGTATAATAGTCATTTTTTGTTTTCTTGTTCAATCAACTCCTATTTTTCATTTGTAATATTTTTTTGGCGATATATTTGTATCTTTTCAAGTAATAGTTAATAATGAACCTTGTGTAACAGGTGTGGGTGTGGGTGTATGATTCATACAATACTCACAGCCACACCCTCAAGATTTTTACCTTGGTCACATAATCATTTTTTGAGAACTCATAACTTTTAGCTTATTAATTTATACAGTTAACTCTCTATTATCACGTTCATCATTGATTAAACTTGTAGTAGAAAAATGATTACTTTCGTTCCTATCTTTACATGATTTACATAAAAGTAAAAGTTTAGCTAAACATTGCCCTGACCATGTATTCAAATAAAATTCGGTCATATACACTTTTGATGGATAAACGAAGAGTAACTATGTGATCACAACTGGTACGCGTGTCAATACTTCTGCTGACACTTTTATTATATATTCTTCAGTTGGCTTATCAATGTCAAGATACGATTCTTTTAGATCCTTTGTATGTAAGATAACTCCGTACGGAATTTGACTGATGCCATATACAGCTGGTGGTACAAAAACAAATAAATGAGTCCATAATAGTTTAAGAAATGTCTTTCTGTATGAGCTATTTTCCATACCATATCGACGAATACGACGTGCAAAACTGATCAACATTAGTAAAGTTGCTAGTACATAAACTGCGATACCTCCTGTTATGTAAAACCAGCTGAATACTTCACGTACGATGTTTAAATTTGGCATCTTGTGCCAGGCACATTTATACACGACCAGTGGTGTAGCAGAGCCGCTAACGATTACAAAGAGAACTAGAATCACAATACCCGATCTCCATCGACTAGTATTCATTTTATCCTCGAAACATATGATTAAGGCACGTTCAAATGCAATACACGCGCTGATAAATAGACAGAGAGCGACAAGTGCAATATAACCAATTTTATTAATATAACAACGAAATGATATGTACTGATCGATATCGTCAGTCAGTTGGTTTGGATAATATAGTACCGCTTGATGAACTGTTAAAAAAATAGTTGAACACAGTGAAAGAATGCAATATACCATCATATAGATACCACAGTTCGTATTGCGTATACGTCTACAGCAGATACATAGTTCGAGAACAAGACCATTATTTAAGATTGAAAAACAGAGTCCAATAATATATATGACTAAGAAGACATAAGTTTTATCAAATGGCATGTGTTCCATATCATTATTTTCACATAAGATGCCGTGATAATTCACACGACATCTACAATAAGTCCTGTTCAATGAGATATCTACGGAGCATTTACCATTGTTCAGACATTCTAACGGATTTAGATCGCAAGAATCGATCATATTTTAATTGAGCCCGAGATTCAGAAAAAGTACAATCAAGAATACAAGAGACGTGACAACCTGTATGTTAATAATCTACATGTACATCCCTAGACAAAAGTCTGTTCCTCTCGCCTTTTTATGGTATCATATCTCGCAGAAAATTTATACAAGATAAAATCTTGATATAAGAGCTTTATTTCAATATAACAATATATTACATCAAAATAAAACTCTTATGCCATATCTTTAGCTGATAATAAATTTTATATAATGTATGACAACAACAATAAAATGAGAAAAAGAGTTTTCTCTGAGAGTACCTTTCAAGATTCGATATCACAGTTAATTGCCTATTATTGTTTTATTTGTCCTTTTACCTATTCAAATATATCGAATTTATTAGTTTTGAATGAAAAGAAGAAAAAAAACACATAAAAATGATAGAATTATTTAAAAGTATAAACCTATTCGTTCTTGTATGATTAACGATTGATTTATGGTTCGATACATAAATGCTTATTAAATCGTTTCGTATTATTTTCAAATTGATTCAATAACGTCTAATGTAGTATAATATATCAGTCATGTCGCATAAACCACAACGGTCTCCTATAGAAGTTAGACAGTATATGACGGAAAACCAAAGTTTTTCTGATGTTAAAGAGTTTTCTGAAATACTCTGCAGGTTTGTTTCATTCTGTGAAATCCTTTTCTTCGCAAAGATCAACTCTTCTGTAGAGATGTTGTTACAGTCATATCTTCATGCATCCTTTCCTTCTTTTTTTTCTCTTATGTTTTTATTCTTCATTCGAATAAAACACAGTGTAAAGAGAGGGTCTTCTCATAGATGTGCCTCTAAAGCTATTTTGTAGATAAAGATTTTTTCAAGAAACAAAGCTTCTGAATGGAAAGAGTTATTGATTTTTGGAGATGGTTCGTCACGATACTACATGAATCAAATTTCAAAAAACTACAACAAGAGATCGACAAACTTGGTATCTATGATCTCCACAATATTTTAAGTCAGCAAAAGAAAGTAGAATGGTGCGAATGGCATTTGAATATTGATGAAAATGATCATGCTATAAAAATAGTCGACGAATTTCGTAAAAATTTCAAACATTTAAAGTTATCTTCAAGTATAATTGATCAAGTAGACACAATCGGAGAAACATTTTTAAATTTCATGCCCAAGGATTTTCATTGGAATACAATTAGAGATTATTTCAGAGTAGCCCGCGAACAGGACAGTCCAATAGCGATCATAAGAGCGTATACATACAGTAAAAATTTTAGTCAACATTTAAATAAACACTCAGCTGTAAATACATATCATGCACTGAAACTCTATTGCACATTGTTGAACTGTCCGATTCTAGCTCAAACACAAGAGTATACAGAAGCGTTTACCAGGATACTTTTTCATCCAAAATTAATACAATCCTTAGTTCGACAAGAGACCGTTTATCGTGGCATAGTTCTTGAAGATAAGAAACTCGTAGACAATTACAACGAAGGGGCTACAATAATAACAACAACATTTTTATCTACATCCACCAATCCTGATGTAGCCAATTGTTTTAGTGACCCGGGTCCTCAAGATGCAATATCAGTATTTTGCGTATATAACATTAATAATATCAACCGTCATACAGCACTCGATTTGAGAAATTTATCCGTTTACCAAAACGAGGACGAAATATTGATCTTACGTTATGTACCATTCATAATTAAATCGATTGAACGAACGGATGATGGCCGAAAAATGACAATATGCTTTGATGAACGTAAGGAGCAACAAATCGTAGAAGAAAATCTTTTTTAATGATTGCTCAATAAAAAGTTAGTCAGTGTCGATCTAGAGAACTTACAGCAAAATTAGGGTGTGGGTGTGGGTGTGGGTGGTGTGTAGGTGGACATGGTTGGGTCTCGGTGTGAGTTAAGAATAGAGATACCCATATCCATGCCCACATTTTCGACGCGACTTGATTTTTTTTCTAAGGGGATACATTAAAATAAACACACACAAATCAAGGCCAACGATATTGTCGATTTACGGAACAGAATTAAACAAGAAATTAAAGGTATAAAAAAGAGATACGAGAAAATCTTTTTGATGGTATCATAAAAAGCCTCAAAATTGGTATTGATGTGAATGGTGACCCTATCGAACAGTATAGTATGTTAAAACTTTGAATATTGCTCTTTCAGTTAAAAAATGATTTGATTTGCTTCAAAAATGACTGAGATATTTAATTTTCTTTTTTGATAAATTAATTTCTGGACACCTTGTATAGTACTGTTAATTCCAATTTAAATATCATTACACATCGAAATCTTGTTGCTTCTTTTTCCTCTTATATTTCGTAATTACTTCAATATAATCTTTTCTCTCCTCGTCATAACACTGAAATATTACGAAATAACAAAGTTCTAGTGAACGTTTCCGCCTAACTTTGTTCACATACAAACTCAGATTAGTAGAAGAAAAAGAGAAATATGATTGTTGTGAAGATCATTTCTTGAGTGTGAATGAAAATATAGATAAATGATGAACATCCGCACCTACAACCTCACCCTCAAGATGTCTCGATAAATTTTTTTCAAAAATGTTGAATAATAATCATTAATGGAACGTGACGGATTCTATCCATTTTTGTCGAAATGATCATCGTACTTCTCTAGTTTGAACTAATTCATAATGGAATGTCTTGCAGCATCAAGTCACAAAAAAAGTTTCAAAGAATAAAGATTAAATCATGATAATTACATCATTTTTTTCTAACATTTTGAATTTTTAAAGAATAGATGATATTTTATTAGCTACAAAATTCTTAGGTATAGTTTCGTTTAATATAAAATAGAGAGTCGAAATTTGTTTATCTAAAAATCATTCATTTGATGAATTGAGTTCTATGAAAATATTTGCACGATAAAATGCGCTTTCACCAATAGAGACAGAGCGAAACTTCATCTATTTTAAAACTTTTTTGAAGTACACACTCTTACAGTCTCACCATTTCCCGCTTCACTTCGTTTAATAATGGTGAAATAACAAAAAATAAACATATAGTAAAACCGATAAATAATTATTTATTGAAAACTGATAAATGAATTTGAATATAAATATCGTTCATAAGACTATATCAATTTGTTGTAATCTTGTAATTCCATAAGTGTTATTTATAATTATAAAAGAATATTATTCATAAATATATTGTTTAGATGTATAATGCCAATTTTGAAGATTAAGTTTTATAGTCGCTTATAATATTTTAATCATATTTTCTATTACTGTCTTTAATAAATTTATATAAAAAAATGAGTTAATAGAGTGAAACAGATCAATTCATGTAGGGCGTTGTCTACTGATAGTAAACAGACATTTCCGACATATTATATGCAAAACTTGAGAGAAACGATAAAAAAATAAATGAAGAAAGTAAAAAATACTATTTTTGTCTTTTGTGCAAGAAAAAATTATGAAATGAAACAAACATTTTTTCATTCTGTGTAGAGCGTAAAGGTATTAGCACGTCGCATTAATAACATTTTCTTTTTTTTATATAAACAAGTTGTGCTTTTTCCTAGCTATCATATAATATCTTTAGAATACAAATAGAAATGTTAACTACAAATACAATGTTATATCATTCAGTGACACTTGAAACTGAACCATTAACAAAAAAACAAAATTTATCTGAATGTAGAATATGTGGCGCTCCTGCTCAATATGTAAATTTTGGCGCTATTTCATGTCATTCATGTAAAATGTTTTTTAAACGAAATGCTAATATTGGACAAGTTAGTTTTAATTATCTTTTTTTAATTTTTAAGTAAAAATTATTCGCTTGATTTAGAAAGCATTTAAATGTAATTTTGGTGGCAATTGTGAAATAAAACGAGATAATCATCATATGTGTGCATCATGTCGACTTAAGAGATGTTTTCAATATGGAATGACTACTGACAAATTTCGAACATCAAGACCGAAGAAATCAAAAACAAAATCGTTAGTTAAAGTAGAACCACGATATCAATCTGAAAAAGTAAGATAATATAAATGTACGAAATATTTTTCTTATTTATGTTTTTAGTTCTCAATAATAAATTCTTTAAAACCAGATCATTCATTATTGACTACTAGTCAATGGACACTTCTCTCAAATTTATATAACAGTTATGATGAATCTCAAGTTTCATTACTTAGTAAATCTTTAGTAGATACACACAATTCTTTACAGCCAATAAATGTAACATATCAAAAACTTGTAGAAAATTTTTTATTCTCTATTTATGAACCAACAGGAAGATATCTTCGTTTGAATGATGATATTTGTAAATTATCATTTACTGATCGTTCCATTTTACTTCGTAATGCTGCAGAAAATGTATCTTGCATGGCGACTGCATTTATTACACATCATTTTGGTTTACTTAGTCTAGATTCTTTTTTGAAAATTATGACTGCAATGTTCGACGTTGGTGGAATCTCTCCTACTCGATGGACAATGAAATTTATCAATCCAGATATTGTAATATTTAAATTAGCACTTTCATTATTTGCTTTATCAAAAACTACTTATATATATTCTTCAGATATTTCAATAGATTCAACAAATTCTTCTACAATATTTCATATTCAAAATAAATATGCAGAAGTTACATGGAAATATCTTAATTATAGATATGGTTGGTGTGAAGCTGTTAAACATTTTCATAGTATCATATATTGGTTTATGGCTTTGACTAAGTCTATAATCCATGCACAAAGTGTTCGTACGCATGTTGATAATATTGATTCACTTGTTGAACTAACTGAAGTTACACTTATATTAGATGATGTTGAGAAAATAATAGATACAAAATAGAAGTCAACGATTTTTATGTTGTATGTGCTTATTGTTTGTCTTATAGTTAAATCTGCGGTGTTGCCACTTTATCTGCATTTAGTAGACAAATTCTGCTCTTTGAAGATTTTTCTGCTTTTTGGACTACAAAAGGTGGCAACACTGATTGTTTGATATTGCAAAACAGAAAAAGAAAGAATGAATCTTTTTTTTTCGTTTTTATCTATAATGTAACATTATCTCGGACGTCTATATGAAGGTTTGTTCTTATCTCTTTCGAGCAGGGAGGAAACCCTTTCAGAATGAATAATATTATTATCCGTTGGAAAGAAAATAAAGAGTTCTTACCAACTTAGACTATTCATTTTATTCGCCACTGTTTCAACATCGATATAATAAAAACTCCATTTAACTTTGCCTACAATTCATAAATCGATTGCCTTCTACGCATTTCTTCACTTCGTCGAGAGAAGTCATTAGCAACATATACGTGAAAAAGATAGAATAAACAAGTGCCTTACGAATAACCAAAGTCAGTACGTATTACGCGTCTCATGTTCTTGTCTTTTCGCGGATATGCCTGGATGTGGGTAGACATGCAGCAAACTCAAACCGCTTGAAAACTTGGGTTTGCATGAGGTATCAGAGCAGGACATGAACCAAACCCAAATCGTTTTGATTTTTGTGAGTTTGACTACTGAGTTTAGGTTTGGGTGGATTGGTTTGAGTGCAGATAGTATTTTCGTCTCACATCCGCTCACAAACTCATAACAGTACCCACACCCGCACCAACATTGAGACCCACACTCTCAAGGTATCTGCATCGATCTAGAGGCAGAAAGCATCCTTCTTACAGTTAGCAAACATGTGACCATTTCGTATATTAAGACAAAGATATCATATTTTTTTCCCTTGAAAATGATTCCGTCTAAATCAAATTTAAAAACAGAAACTTCTGTGAGTATAAACGAAAAAAATATAAAACTGTTCGCTTTTTGACCGCTAATGTGCGTTATCTTGAGAGTGTGGGTGTGAATCGAAAAGACATATAGTCACTCTCACCCACAGCCTTATTCACAGAAAAGAGTGTGAATGTGAGTGAGGGTGATGGTACATCTCTTCGACTCACACCGACACACTCGGCACTTTGTAATACATGATCAAATCATAATTCGTCGAATATCTATCACAGTGACTTTGAGAAAAGGCATCCAAGCACTATAGAACAACTTATCATCTGTCGTAGATGCATTTTCTTCGCTTCAGTGAATTTGGAAATAAATAATCAAAATATCGTTTACTTTTAGAAAGTCTTTTTGAAGAGCTCGTACTCTTAAAGATTCATTATGTTTAAAAACCTGAAAGTTATATTGTCTCTCGCAAATACCGATACGGTGGCAGACTTTGATAACTCAACTGAAGAGCATGTTAATATTCAGCGTGATTTGGATACAAAATTGAAAAAATTAGAAGGTCAAAAGTTTCCACAAGGCTTCTCGAAACCCACTTATGTATTAAAAGCTGTTGATGCTAATGAACATAGTCAGTGGGAGACACAATTGCAACAGGAAAGCAAAGAAAATACTGGGAAACGAATTATACTTATTCCTTATTATTTGGGAAATTCTCATTGGGTTGGAATAATAATACAATTTAAAGGAACACACGCGATTCAGGAAATCGAATTCATTGATCCAGTATCAAATTCTTCATTTGTGCATGAAAACATACAACAAAAATTCAATGACTTGTATCCTAGGGTGACCTTACCTTCGAAAACATTACAAACACACAACGATCCAACACAAAGCAATCGACTGACCATCGAAAACTTATTAAAACGAGTCGAAGAATTACAACTTATGGATGTACAAACTGAAATAATCGACAATCAAAAAACATATACTTCACTTTCTGAAGTAAATACATCGAACGTTTGCCATTCAAAACAAGCAGTGAGTATTGAGAAAGAGAGTGCGATATATGTGAGTGCATCGAATTCCTTATTTCTTTCTTCACAAACAGAACAACAAAAAGAACAGAATGAGATATTAGAAAAAAGTTCATTCTTCGACCGCGAAAATATTTTTCCTGTTGCATCCAGCAACCAGACAGCAGGTGAAAAATCAACAGTTACGCCTTCTCCCACCATCCGAAATGATGACTACTCACAGGTTAAATCCTGTGAATCGATAGAAAAGCAGTTACAAGATGCTTTCCACGAATTTGAAATTAGCAATGAGAAAGAACTCGAAGAGGAAATTTTGAAAACACAACGGGAAATTCAGGAATGTAATAATCAGGGAAGGGGTAAAGTTGCAGGTGAACGCCAAAACTATTTATTGAAACTTAAAGAAATTCAAGCACTAGTTTCTAAGATCATAGAGTTGCAACCATTGTCTCCGTCTCCTTCCAAACCATTAATCGAAGAATTGAAAGTGAGACTATCTAGTGGTCTTTCAGAGCATGAGCTGAAGGACGAGAAAGCGTTGAAAGAAGAGATCATGAAAATGCGACAAGAAATTCAGGAAGCTGAAAGTTTAGGTAGACAGAAAACTGCCGAAAAGATACGAGAGCCGTTGACGCAACTCGAAAAGCTTCAGGATCTAGTAGATCAAATCGCAGCTAAACAGCGTTGTACATCAACTACAACTGGTAATATAGAAGAGCTAAGAGCTAAACTAGACAATGGGCTTTCAGAGCATGAGCTGATGGACGAAAAAGCGTTGAAAGAAGAGATAATGAAAATGCGACAAAAAATTCAGGAAGCTGAAAGCTCAGGTAGACAGAACACTGCCGCAAAGATGCGAGAGCCGTTGACGCAACTGGAAGAACTTCAAAGTATAGCTAATCAAATCAACGCTCTACAGCCTTTACAGGTAACTAATGATACAGAAGTGATAAGATTACACTCAAGCATCGAGCTTCTTGATGAAAAGGTACGTAACAACGACATAATCAGACGGAAATCAGATACCAGGAGTTTCACGAATGGAGAAAAATATGAGTCTGTGTCATCACTCGAGAAAGCTCAACAGTCGTTCGATCATTCGCAGGTGGTACAGTTTTCTCCTTTAAGTATAAGCGATAAATTTGATCATTTTGCGAGTGGTGATCACCCTTCGAATGTAGATGGAAGTAATAATTGCTTAGCACAGGACGAAGATACGATAACAAAAAGAAGTGTGAAAAACTTACACAGCGACTTTTCCTGTATGCCACCATGTTCAGAGAGATCCATCATTCGTCTCAGATGTCTTCTTTCTCTAAAACTACTTAACGAGGTGATAGTTCCAGAAGATAATATTGTGATACCGAACAGCATAGAGAGTGAAATAGCAAAAGAATGGAAATGTTTAAATGAACGGCTGAAGATTGAAGAATTTCAATCTTCGCAGCTTCAAGATCTAATAAGGACATTAGAGGTAAATATCAAAGATCAGAATTGGAAGTCTGCATTCAGTAAATTAGTAGGAGTTTTGAAGCTGATTAGACCGTTAAATATACAAGAGTTGTTTAGGCTTATTGAAAAAGTTGATGATGCTGCTAAGCTGATAAAGGGAAAAGAGATTATTCTTTTGGTTGGAGGCACAGGAGCAGGAAAATCTACTACAATCCATTTTCTCGGAGGTTCTAAATTTAAGAAAATAAAAGTAAACGGATTAAATCATATACATCCATACGAAGTGAAAAATACAGATCTGCAAAAGATAACTACATCACCGTTTGCTCGATCCGAAACGCGATACATTACACCTGTCAGAGTAAATCCTGGAGATGTGAGCGGCTATACTGGTGATGGTTTTGTGTTATGTGATAGTCCAGGATTCGAAGATACTAATGGAGCCGAAGTTGATATTGCAAATGGAGTCGGCATTACTAAAGCAATAAAGGGATGTAAAAGTGTCAAACTTGTTATCTTAATCAGTGCTATGAGCATTGGGGACAGACAAGGTGGCGTGAAGAATTTAGCTCGTACATTGATAGGACTTATCCCAGGAATTAAAGATCATATCCGAGCAGTTGCTTATATATTCACGAAATTTTCATTGGAGGAGAAGGACACAATCCATCATTTATTAAAAGACGCAGAACAACGAATGGATGAGGCAGACAAGTCAGATATAAGCTATATGTTGCTGTTTAGGGATTTAGTGAGAAAAACAAGACGGAACGTACGGATAATAGATCCACTTGAAGGTGATCCTCTCGACATGATTGATGACTTTGATGACTTCCAAGTGATAAATCATCCTGATGAAGTATTTAAATTTTCTATCACAGATAAGTCCAAAGCAACTGTACAAGAGCAAATCAGAAAAGATCAGTTAAGTATTATGTCTGCAACTGAGCGCTCCGACTTTTTATTTGTAAAGTACAAGATGGATTTACTAAAACGTTTGTACGATGCACTTGACCAAGAATACATCAAACAAATTTACGATGATTGTGTTGAAAATATAGTTAGACATCTTACAGAAGAGTATAAAGGAGCTACTTCAGTTATAAGTCGTGGCCTAATAAACGAAAGAATTTTAAGCAACGAAGATATTCGTTACTATGAAACATGTATTAACCACGCTACGCTAGCAGAAGACCTGAGAGAAAGTCATTTAAAACAGAAAGTCGTTCATAGTAGTGCATTCATACAATATCTAAGTCAACAAATGGATGACATGTTTATAGAACTACACGACAAAGAAATCAATAATTCTCTAATTAAAGGAAGTCTGGACAAGATGAAACTTGTTTTGAACTCATTCCCACGTATTAATCCAGAGAAATACAATAGTACTTGCCAAGCTCTCGCAGAAAAAATCAAATCAGTAACAACTTCTTTCAAAACTTCAGTTTTATCAAATAAGTTTGATGAGAGTGCTAGTAGTATCACTAAATTACATGAAGCATTAAATGTTTTGCACGATCATTTAGATCGTGCATATATGCAAGAAGAATACAATCGAATGAAGGAATATTTTCTTAATCATATCGATACCTCTGTCAAAAATTTAACTCGTGTTTTTGATCATGAAAAACTACTTAAGGATGATATCAATAGTTTAAATAGTTGTGTTTCTATGCTAGAAGGTGCTATGAAAACATACGCACTTCACCCTCACATTTCCAAAAAGGAGATCGAGAAGATTTATGAAAATCTTTTGTCGAAAATTTTAAATTACTTCCAAGGAATTGTTCAAAAAATCGACGCAGAGTTTAATAATAAAAATGCATTTTACACATTGAGACAGTTTTTAGAAGAACTAGATTCGATCAGAACAATTTCTGTGATCGAGATCAAAACAAATCAGTTTCATTATAGTATCGTCGAGAAAATAGTTAGATATCTACGCGATGCAAAATTAGATGCTGAAGATCTATTAAAAATCGTATTTCAACGAGACGGAAAAGTTAATTATGATAAACTGACAAAGTGTCTATTAAATCTAAAGAATGCTGAATGGATAGAAAAGTATCGAAGTGGCGAATACTCTTATATCATAAAGGATGTTGAAGAACGACTTATTGAACATATAACAGAGATGAAAGTAACTGTCATGCAAGTCCCTTTAAATCTTGATAATTATGACAAAATCGATTCAGTTCATAAAATAGTATCAGATATCAAGGAAATGAAACCTTTAGAAAAATTTCTTCCAGATATAAATCAGCATATAGTTGATGTTAATTCTTGGTTTGAAAAGGAGATAAATGGAGTTTGTATTATTATTAAAGCTTCATTCAACACAGAAGAATGGAAGAAAGAAGAAGAAAAAAACTTAGACTTCAAAAAAGTTGAAAAAGCATTGCAATATTTCGATGCGTGTAAAAGAAACTGTATTTCATTACACAATGATTTTTTATGTGTACCTAGCGATTTGGAAGGATTTGTGAAATATCATAGTGATTTTGTTCAAAAGGAGATGGAAAGTTGTTTCGAAAATATGAGAAATTTTCAAATCGAGGGCAAAGAAAATACAGAACAATGTCAAAAGGAGCGTAGAGAAAATCTATTTGAGAAAGCTCGCATATTATCAAAGCGTCTCATTGAAGTTTCTGAAATTAAAACTGAATATTGTCGTATTTTTGCTTGTTATACAAATCAAAGAATTCTCGAACAGTGGGAACAAAGATTAAACGATTACCACAGTGAATTAACTAATGAAATAGAAATGCTCAGCGCCACAAATCAGAATCTGACTTTAAATAACAAATTATTGACTGTCAATGCATTACGTGCGCTAGATGTTCCGCCAGGCAAGACGAAGTTTACCAATCTTTATTATTTGTATCAAAATAAAATACTTGTGACAACGAATGATGCTGTTGGCAAAGTATTAGATGCTATTAAAACATATGATTATGCACGGGTTGCTCGTGGGATGGGATCATTAAAGATAGCAGGTAATGGAGGAGAATATTTTTTTTGAAGAAGCTAAGCAAGCACTTACTCGAAGTTTGGACGACTTTATAGGAGAAATCAAAACTCAGGCAATAATGATTGGAAACAATCTAGAACCAGAAAAAATAAAGTCCATAGTAACTAATTTGAAGCGGATTAGAGAAGCGAAACAATTTATATCACAGTATCTTGACAAACCTGATGAATTAGAAAAATGTATAGAAGACGTTAAATCAACCCTTGAAACAAGATTAAAACGTGTCTTGGACGGAGTCAACACACTTATTAATGTTAACAGTTTCTATGAAGCCGAACAAAAGATAGAATCAATTTTCTTCGTACGAGATTTATTGGATCAATATTGTACACCAGCACTGTTCGCTGAGCTCGAAAAAGCAAGCGAGCGTCAAAAGGGCGTTGTATTAAACGAAATAGTTCCGAAATATGAAAAAATGGATATCAGTAGATACATGTTGAATCCGCCAACAGACATTTTTGAGAAGTTCGGAGCAGCTAAGAATGCAAACTCGGTATATTCTCAGGCGTTAGAAAAAATAAAAGAAACTATTCTCACCAAGTTTAGAGAAGAACTAGATTTAGCGAGGAATGAAGAACCTCCGAATCCAAACAGTAGCCATATAAGAAGATTCGAATCCGCTGTTAAGTATTTACCGGAAGCCATGAAGAATGATCTCGAAGTGGCATTGACGCATTGTAAAGCTGATATCGATTTAAAGATCGACGATAATGCTAAGAATTTGAGAAATGTGATCAGTAACGAAGATCCAAAAGCTATCAAAGTTGTTCTTCAACCAAACAGAAATTCACAAACTATCGACCCACTACGTAAAGAAGGTCGAGAACTTATTCTGAAACAGGTACAAGATAAAGTCAATAAAATAGATCAATATTTCCAGCAAGATAATGTGAATGAAGCGTTAGCTTATGTAAAAATTGTATTTGATTATCACAACGAATTAGGATCTATTATCACCGATATTAGACAACCATATTTAACCGTACGATCGCAAACAAAAAATAAATTTGAGGCCGTATATCTTTGTTTTTTGAAGCAGTTTTTACAAAATAACACATCTGACGTTACTATAGAGATCGTTAGTACTATAGAGAAAAGTTTTCGTTGTATATTCGACTTTATCAAGTTCAAAAATGAATCGCAAGATTCATCTATGCTAAATAATATGCTTCCAGAAGATTTTAATGAGAAAGTAATTGCATTGAATAACAAAACTTCGGAATATTTTAGAAAACTAGAAAACGGGTATAAAGACCAATTAGAAAAAATGGATATACTGTCTCTTAAGCATACTTTAGATATTATGGTTAAGTGGGAGTCACTAATTACGAAGATAATGCGGACTATTCAAATGTGTGACATTAAGGATGACTCATTGGAAAATATGAAGGAGGCTATTGAGAGTCTAACACATTATTCTAGTATGTTGGAATCTGTGTCTCGAAAACTTCAAGAATTAAAAGTTGAACTTATCAATCAAGAACTTATTAATGCTGAAACGAGTCAATTTGACGTAGGGCGAGATCAGTTTTATAAAAAGTTCAATGAGAAACTTCTTATTCTAGATAAAGCGAAGGATCTTAGTGGGCATGATCTACGTTTTGATGTAAAAATAGTACAAGAGAAATGTATAAATTCAATTAAGAGAAAAATAGCAGACATTTTTGCTAAAATTAACAATTTTTTAAAAAAATTCGCCAGCGAATCGAGATTAAAAGGGGAAGATTACGATGAGTTCAATTTGTGTTATGCTAATTTAGTGTCATTACATCAAGCAGTAAGAGGAATAGATTTTGAAGTGAATGAAAAAATTAGCCAAATTAAAGAAGCAATTTTGACTAAAGTTCGCCTGTGGGAACAAACTATTGAAAAAGAGAAATTACCTGAGAATATTTCGAAGAGTTTAATCAATATGAAGCATGCTTCAATTAATATTCACGCCTTTAAAGTTAACATCAATAAAAGAATAGATGAAACATTAAATAATTATAAAAATCGAGCAAAATCTTCGACTACTTTTTCAAAGTTAGGAATTTTATTAAACAAAGATCCAGACGGTGTAGGAGCGAGTATTATTGCAGAACATAAAGCATTTGAAAGCTACTCGTTGTCTTTATTCAATGAAAAAACTCAAAGGCACGATATTAATTATGTATTAAGCAATTTGAAGGGAGATTTTATTGCTATTAATAAACTTAAAAAACGATGTATAGAATTTTTTGGTGCCCGTAGAAAATCTAACAATTCCGGCAATAGTTCTAACGTTGTTCATGTTGAACCTGATGCTGATGAATCCGATGGCATCTATACAAAATTAATTGAAAATTATCTTAAAATCAATATCGATTTTCAAAAATTGATTTCAGAGACGAAACTAATTGCTGGGGATATAAAACAGACACCAGAAAACATTCAGTGGGACGCATATGTAAGAGATAGGATTCCAAAGCTTATAGCACATATTTTTGCCCTATGGACTCTTCAGAATGCATCTAGTTATTTTGACGTTGAGGATGTTGTAGATAGAAAAAACTATCTTCTTCAACCTCACGCCGCGCAAGTAGTTTCTATATTTCGAATGCTCGGAGTAGGGGATGAAAACGAAAAATTAAAAAATAATTTAGTACAAATAGGAACTGGCGAAGGAAAATCTATAACATTAGGAGTCACAGCGTCAGTACTCGCCTTACTTGGCTTCGATGTTCGTTGTGCTTGTTATAGCCCATATTTAAGCCAAAGAGATTACAATGGATTTCTACCAGTATTCGATGCATTAGGAGTAACTCAATATATTCGTTATGGGACATTTAATAAACTTTGCGAAGATATGATTAATCAAAATGGGGATATCCGACAAATAGTAGAACAAGTTATATCAACAAATTCTTTTAATACTGCGCAAAGTACTCATCGTACTGAGCGAGCTAAAATATTATTGATTGACGAGGTTGATGTTTTCTTCAGTCAAGATTTTTATGGAAATCTTTATACACCATCAGCTAGTTTAAGGGAGCCTACAATTACATCTCTAATCAATTATATTTGGGCACAAAGAGAATCGAAATTAAATCTCAGTAAGGTAACAACTACACCTGAATATAAAGCTTGCTGTAACAAATTTCCAGACTGGGAACCGCTGATTCTCGAAGCTGTTAAAGATCTCATATATGATGTAAACAGTTTTGAATCCCACGATTATATTTGTAACAATGATATGATTGGATATAAAGAACAGGATAATATTGTTTACAATGTTGCCTACGGGTACAAAACTTTATTTGCATATTATTGTGAACATGTAAAACAACAGATAACACAAAAGAGTTTGGAAGAAAGAATCAGTATGAGAATAAAGTGTGGTAGTTTTTCATATGCTGAGATTCCACTTCAATTCAAATACATAATGGGTGTTACAGGAACATTAGAAACTCTTAGCGATCCTGAAAAACGGATTATAAAAAATGTCTATAAAATCGAAAAAAATACAATTGCTCCGTCAGTGTTCGGTGCAAATAATCTTATATTCAGGATGAGAGACGATATAAGGATTGAAAACAACGATGATTATTTTAATGCAATCAAACGGGAAATTGATGATCGATTAGTAGGAAGATCAGTAGAAAAACGTGCTATTTTAGTGTTTTTTGAATCAAAACAGAAATTGGAAAAATTTTTTAATTCAAGGGCATTAGAAACAATGAACGGATCCCTTCAAATTCTAACAGAAGAAGCCTCTTCAGAAGAAAAGGAAACAAAAATAAAACGTGCCACTAGATCTGGACAAGTAACTTTATTCACGAGAACTTTCGGTAGAGGAACAGATTTCATATGTTATGATCAGAATGTTAGTGCAAATGGTGGTGCACATGTTATCCAGACATTTCTTTCCGAAGAGTGTTCAGAGGAAAAACAAATTAAAGGCAGAACCGCGAGACAAGGTGATAATGGGTCTTATAGTATGATTCTATTTGATCGAGACTTAGAAAAATTTCATATTCAAAGGGAGAATATTGACGATGTTGTCCAAGGTAAAGGAATTTCAGTTCTTAAATCAGATAAAACTGTTTCAACAACAGTCTATGAGACACTATATCAACTTCTCGATGATAAACGTACGGCTTTATTCAAAACACAGTACGAAGCTAATATGGCTTTTGTTCAACAAGCGAAAGAAAAGCATGAAGTCACTCGTCAGTTTTTACTAAGTCTAAATTATGGAGATTTAAACTTTGCAAAAACATTTTTAGTTAAAGAAAATAAAGGAGCGTTTATCATCGCTCAACAGTCGCGAACAATTTGCTTAATGGACGCAACAGGTTCAATGACCCATCTTCTACATAAGTGTAAAACTACAGTAGGAATGATGTTCGATCGCATTACTATGATTCTGAAAGAAAACAACATTAGTGAAGATTCATTTCAAATTCAATTTGTTGTCTATAGAAACTACAATAGTGAAAAAGATAAAATCCTTCAATCTTCTCCTTGGGAAACGAAACCGGATAATTTACGAGCGTTTATGAATGCCATCAATGTAGAGGGAGGATGGGGTAATGAGGCTGTTGAAATCGGTCTGTGGCATGCTAATACTGAGAATGAGAGAGAAAATATAACACAAGTTATTTTAATTGGTGATGCACCGCCAAATACCAAAACCGAAGTAGACCAGAAAAGAGATAATTACGGAGACGCATATTGGAAGAACACTAAGTTTGCAGAAGCGACTTATTATGAAGATGAGTTAAAGAAGCTAATATCGAAACAGATTCCAGTACATGCGTTCTATGTCGCCAAGCAAGCGGAAGCAAGTTTTAAAAAGATTGCTAAGGAAACAGGTGGAAGATGTCATCTGTTAGACATCAATTCACAGGCCGGAGCGAATATGTTGACAGATTTAGTAACAGAAGTTATTCTCAAAAATGTCGGCGGAGAAGCAAAAGGAAATACTCTTGTTGATGCATACAGAAAGAAATTTGGAAAATCTTATAACTGAATCATAATTCGTTGTAAACATTTGAATTAATCTTATACGAGGTTCATTTGTTGTTCTATTTGATCTTTTCGTATCTCCTTAGTTTTGATTGTATTCTTTATATTAACGGGTGCGTTTTTTATATATTAATTTATATTCATTTCTATTTTTCGGTTTGTTGATTTTATGATGAGATTTTATCACTTATTGTATCCGAAAAAGGCTTATTTCCGATTTTATTTATTTGTTTGTACTCTTGATACGTATGTAGGAATTTTTTTTATTCAAATATAATCCTGATAAAACTTAAAACTATGTCAAGAAAATGAACTCGTGTACCTTGAGGGTGTGGGTGTGAATGTAAGGGAATAAAGAAACACTCACACTCACACTCACATCCGTGTTTAGCTTGTTCAAAAAGCATCAAGAAAGATCAAAAATGCATTGAACCAATCCGTCGAGTCTGGACGTTGGTGGGTGGGTGTTGGTGTGTATGTGTGAGTATTGTTCTTATTATCCGTCGCCCACGCCTGCACCCTTAATTATCATAATATGTTGACTACATATAAAGCTGTGCGGGTGGATGTGGGTATAATCTCTAACCGATATCCACATCCACATCCTAATACCTTATTATAAAATCATTTGAATTATTTTTTAGTATAAATATTAAATTTCAATTAAATATTTATTCATTTAATTTGATTATTTTCTTTAAATGAAGAATATTTAATGATTTGTTAAATAATCGTTTAATTAACAGATTGTTTTTATTTTCTTTTATTTATCAATAAAATAGAAGACCATTCAATTTTTCTTCACCATTTCATTATTTTAATTAAAATCGATGAATCATTTTGTTAATTAATGAAACTTTATAAAATATACTTTATTTGTTTTTTCTTTTTATTGAGATTTAAGAAATAATTTTCTTTAATTAAAAATCTTTTTCTTTTACAAGGAGAAAAATCAAAAAAACATTTAATAAAATCTCTCGAAAAGAATTTGTTATTTTATTATGTAATTATTTCTAACTTTTCCTCTTGATAAAAAAAAATTGCTTTAAAGAAAGGACGAACTGTTTATTAAGCAATTGAAATTTCAAATTTATTTTTTCTCTTCAATTCTCGTTTTTTAATAAAATAAAACACATTTGATCTTTTGTTTATTTTTATTTTATTTTTAATATTTAAATGTAAAATTTATTTTTGCTTTTAAGCAAAAAGATTTTCTTAATCTAATTTTTTAATCTGGACAGATTTCATTCTTATTCATTTATCTTTTTTTCTCTCTTCCCTTTCTGTCAATAAATGATAAAATCATAAAAATAAATCTAATAAAAACACAACTTGTTTCTATTTAGAAGTTTCTTTTTTTATTAATTTAAATATTTTTCTCAATTTGAAAAATATTTTATTTGATTTTTCTATAAGGATTAATTTTTTTCTAATTCAATTTTCTTCCAAATTCTTTTACTTTGATCCAGTCAAGTAAAATTCTATCCGAATTATTTTATTCATTTTAGTTTTTTAATTTAAAATTAAAATTAACAAAATATATTTACTTCTCATTTCTAAAAATGAAAAATAAATTTATTTTCGTAGAAAATTTTTCATAAATTAATGTTTTCTTATTTATTTTCAAAAATAAAAATCGAAATTGTATCAAATGAAATTAAAAATATTTTCAATCTAAAATTTTTTCAATCTAAAATTTTTTCATATTTTTGGATTCGATGATTCCCAAAATCAACAACATAAAGATTTTCTTCATTATCAAATGATAAACCCATGGGACAATTCAATTGATTTCCATAACCATTTCCACCAACAACAATTTCACCTTCTTTATCTCCTTCACACCAACGCATTACTCGATGATTCCCAAAATCTGCCACATATATTTGACCCAAATGATCAACAATCACTCCATAAGGCTGAGACAATTGTTTGAGACTATTTCCTTTACCATGTCCACCAGCAACAACAATTCCTTCTTTTGCATCTTTTTTCCATTTCATTGCACGATGATTCGAAAGATCTGATATATAAAGAGAATATTCTTCATCAATAAAGATAAAAGTGGGCCCATTGAGTTGATTAAGATGACTTCCTTGACCATTTCCACCTGCAACTACTTCACCTTTTTTATCTCCTTGTTTCCATCGTCGTACTTCATGATTCTCATAATCAGAAACATAAATAAATCCATTTTTATCGATTGCCAGACCATAGCAATCAATATATGGAATAAGAATTTGTTGATCTGTTTGATTTTGATCAAAACATCGAATTACTCGTTTGCTTCCATAATCACAAATAATAAAAGAATTATTTTCTTTATCAAAAATTATATCTCTTGGATCATTCAATGCATTATTTTGATATTCTTGTTCATTTCCACCTGCAATGATTTGACCAGTATTTGAATTCAGTTTCCATTTAACAATACGATTATTCCAAGAATCAGCAATATAAATTGATTTATCATGATCAATAAAGATCCCTTGAGGACAATAGAGTTGACTTAATCCCTGTCCATGTCCATTTCCTGCAGCAACAGTAATTGGAAATTGTTGAAATGTATTCTTCTTTGTTTGAATTTGTTCTAAAATAAAACATTTTTTTTTATTCAAATCTTTGTCATTATTTTTAGATAAATAAATGTGGAAACTTCGGATTGTATCCGAGAGTTATGTGTACTGCAAAAAGTGTATATGGAAATCATAAGAAAATATCAGTATTTTTGTAATAACTCGGGAATGGCTCGTCCAATCAGGCTCAACTTCGAACTCGATCGAGATCTGTATGAGTCTAAACCAGAGGTGCAGAATCTTCCCAAAAAAAAAAAATTTCCCCCAAGGTAAATCTTCAAAAATTCCCCAGAATTTTCAAAAATTTCCCCAAAAAATGCAGTTTTTAAAAAATTTCCCCCCCCCGCGCGGGGGCGCATGAGGAAGATTCTGCACCGCTGGTCTAAACTGTGTAGAAAATTTTATCAATATCTGACTCTCCTTTCGCAAGGTATCGTGTAAACGGCTGGCCGACCACACTGATCAATTCTAGTAATATACTCACTTTTTGAGTACACTAAAAAGAGAGCACCCGCAGTGACTAAAGGGCAGTTCCTTAGTGCGCTCAACGATGAATTTTTCTAGACAGATTGATCAAAATCAATCTATCGTGAACTTCACTTTTCCAGTACATAAAAAAAACGTTGACACTACGGAGAACAAACGAATATCACACAGACACACTTAAGGTATATGGCTTTTTCATGATTTTTCACAAGTGTGATACTAAAGACATATCGAAGGCGCATATCTACCCCCTATTACTTTACATCATTTTATAGCTCTTGACGAGTTCTATCTACTCTAAAAAAAGTGTTACTGATAATATGAAAACAAGCAAATATCGCACTGACACATTGTCAACATATATGAGTTTTCTATAGTTTACCGATCCTGTTATACAGAGACAATCTTGTGTGCAACCCGTTTATCCCTATAATTTAGTACCATCTTTTCGCTTGTGAAATTCTCTATTCAATGCTTTATAATAAGTGAAATTTTATTTGACTCTGGTAGAAAAATTGCTTTCGAGAATGGCATTATATTATTTTTCTCTCCAAAAAAATATAGAAAAATCATAGGAAAATATCAGTATTTTTTCAATAACTCGGGAAGGGCCCGACCAACTAGGCTCATCTTCGAACTCGACCGAGATCTATATGAGACTGAATTATGTACAAAATTTCAGCTCAATCGGACTATTTTTTCAAACGTTATCGTGTATACGGACGGCCGGACGGACACACTGACCGATTCTAGAAGTGTACTCACTTTTTGAGTACACAAAAAGGATGAAGGTAAGAAAAAAAACTTGTATTTGAATCTGTTTTAATAAAATAAAATTTTCATTTTGTTAAATTTAATTTTTAATCGAACAAAATTAATTTCAAATAATTTCTTCATTCAGCTAAGATTTTTTAATTAAAAATTGTTTATTTGATTTTAATAAAAGTTTTATTTAGGAAAATGTTTTTAAATGAAAGTCATTTTTATTGATATGATTCAAACGAAATCGATTAAAAACTTCATTTTTATTAATAAGTTAAATAATTCTCTTATTTGAAAATTCTAGACTAAAAAGTTAAAAATAACTTTGATTCAACAATTTAAAAAAAAATTTGAAAATATTTTCTATGATGAAAAAACAAAATTTATGTAATTGATTTTAATTTTTTAATAAACCTATTCAATTCTTAATATAATGTTTTCTTTTTTTAAAGAACTATCTGAATGATTAATTTGATTAGCAATTCTATTAATGATTTTTCAATTGTGAAAAATATTTATTCTAATTAGGAAATAAAACTTTCGATGTTAAATTTTGATCTTATTCATATAAATTAATTCACAAAAATATTTAAATGGAAAACTTTGTTACTTTTCAAAAGAATTTTTATGGTAAATATTTGTTTAATAATATTTTCAATATCTCAATAAGAAAAATAATTCGAAAACGATGGATGAGATCTCTTGTCAATGTCATATTAAGTGATAGAAAAATAGAAAAGTAGCAAATCATAAATAATTTATATGAATATTGTTTCAGGAGAAATTCTTATTTCTTATTAAAAGAATAATAGTATTTGAAAAATGAGTTTAAATTGTTACTTAATTAATAAAAATAATCTATGAAAAAGTTCTATCTCAATTTTAAAGATAATAAAACTATTTTTATTTAATAAAACATACGTAGCTTTATTTGAGATTGAGTTGATATTTGGTTTGTTGTTATTGGATTCTTTAATATAGTCGCTGTGATAATTGTAGAATGATTTAATTGATAAGAATCTAAATAAAAAGAAAATACAATGATTTTATTTGACAATAATAGAAAAATAAATAAAGAATTACTTGGACTATTAGAACTATTCCTTAATCTTTTGAGATAATTTAAAATAAGAAGAAAGCAAAGTTTAACTTTTCTCATTTAAAATTTTTTCAATAGACATATAAAGAGAGAGAATTTGTTTATATTTTAACTTTTGAATATAAATCACAAAGTTTTCTCTATGAAATACTTCTTTCTTTCTGAGAAAATTTTCTTCATATAGAAAAGAAAGATAATAGGTAATTATAATTATTAGTGTATATATTCCATCGACTGTAGAGAGGGTCATATGAAATAAAATAGTTTGTGTGTATGTAGGTTTGTGTCAAGGTCAAAAAAAACATCTACTTCTAAATAATTGGGTGTGAGTGAAATGAGCTCGGGTGGGTGGCATAGGGCGAGTGTGGGTGAAACAGGGTGGCGGTAGATGGAAATGAGTGGATTAGGGTAGAAGTGGGTAGATTGGGTGGAAGTAGGTGATATAGGGTACAAGTGGGTGGACTGGGTGGAAATGGATGAAATAGGGTAGAGGTGGGTGGAAGTGAGTGAAATAGGTCAGAAGTGGATGAATTGGGTGAACTAGGGTAGAAGGTGGGCGAGTCAGTGAAATTGAGTGATATGGAGTAAAAGTAGGTGGGAGTGGGTGGGTGTGTGTGTGTTTAGTTCGGATTTATTATTGATACTCATAGCCACACCCAGATTCATACACCCACATTCTCAAAGTCGAGGATGCAGTGAGTCGAGACGACGAACGTTACTTGTTAGTTGAATAAGATCTTTAATATTTTATCGAAACAACAAATAAATTATTTATGAATTATTCTCTTGAATTAGATTTTATTCTCATTGATCTTTAAAACATTTGTTTTATTATTTATCTTAAAAATAAAAATGTAGAAATATATTCTTTAATTATTTGATTTTCTAATTAAGATTATCAATAGATCTTATTCAAAAAATACAATATCAAAATAATATTAAATATTTCTTATTAATATGATTATTTTGAGATCTATATCATAAATTTTACAATGATTGATTTATTACATTATTTATAATTGAACAACAAACTATTTTCTCAAACTATTCTATAGATTTTTTCATTTAAGGATATATTCTGATTAATCTAAAAAACAAATATGTTTGAATTTGAAGTGAAAAATAAATAAGTATGAATTTATGATCAAAAATCAATCTAATCCTAAATCATCTTGATTTCTTATTCGATTGGTTTAGGAACAGGCTCAAAAATAATATAATATTTTTCATCAATTTATTAATCAGGTTTTAAACAATTATTTTCACATTCATCTATTTATTGAAATCCATTTTATTTATTTGTTATCTAATAAATATAGTAGTCGAACTACTTACTTGGATTTGCTGATCCAGATAATTCGTCTTGATTATGATCGTCATCATCATCATTATTAACTTCTCTTAAATGAATAATATTTAATCCACCTGGATGATTTAATGGATCAGATACAACTTCAAATCTTGTTCCAGGCATTAAAATAACTTCATTTTCATATGAATAACATGTGTATGATGAAGCAAATCTTCCACTTAAACATTCTATATGAAATAATGTACTTGAAGAAGATTGACTAATAAATGAAGAAATAATATTAATAGACGTTGAACATGAACTTATACTCCACCAAGTAATTTTTTGACCTTCTCTAAAACTCTTGGTAACATCTTGATCAATACCACGGAAAACAGTTCCTTTAAATCTCGGTAGTTTTGACGTTGCAGAATCTAAAAGTTTTAAATATCCAAACCATGGACGAACTCTTGTTCGATCTTCTGCACGAAGTGTTTGATTTAAAATTCGATAAACACTTGAATCATCAGACATTTCCATAGTATAAATATAAATTGCAGCAGATTCATCTTTTGTTAAATTATGATCATTTGGATATCTACAATGTTTTTTAGCTAATTTAACAAAAAGATTTATTTCTTTAAAAAAATCTTGTAATTCATTCATCGCTTCTTCAAGAGATAATAATTTCCAGGTAAGGTAGCCAAAACATGCTGGTAAGTCTTCATTTTCCAGCTGAATATCCGTAAAACGATCTCCTGAATGACTCATTATAATCAATTAATTAGTCAAGTTGTTTTTTTATTATTGAATAATGAACTAAATAATAAACAAGAATGACAAATTTAATTTGAGTTTTACCATATTTATGTATTAAATGAACGATTAAATTATGTTTTCATTATTAGATTTAAAAGCATCGATAATTAAAGTTATTGTATAATTTTTATATTCTTTCACTTTAATTATATTTGAATGAGATACTAAGCCTAAGTCTAAGAAATAAATATCATACTTTTGTACTTGGAAAATCTCATAGTACATCAAAGTAGCTTCAATAACTTTGATTTTTATAGATAAAACGTTTTTTAACTTAATTTAATTGAAATAATATTAATTAAATTTTATCTTAGTTTTTATCAGCTAAAAATAGAGGAGAGAAACGGTTCTCACACAACAATTTTATGATTGTTTGAATTTCTTATTAGCTTTTGCTTGTCTTTAATTACATTCTGAAAAAACGAATCAATTCAATACTAAATATATGCTAACTTTCATATCAATATCAAAACATAAAATGATCACTTCCACGAATCTTTCACTCATCACGAATTCTACAAAATGATAAAAGATGATTTTGAAGCATTTCTATAAACATTCATCCATCTATTTAACCTTCTTATATACAAATATTAACAATCTGTTCTGATCAAAATGCATTCACTCGTAAATTTCAGATTCATAATAATACATAGAACCAAGTCAACAGATTATAAACGAGAAAACATCGAGTGCGAAGCACATGTATCGGCTTAAATATCCACTCAGTGCGCATCGACTATGATCTAAGAAATTAAATAATAATTCTTCAGAACAAAAGATGGTAAGATCAATGATGAAATAAATTTGAACAGGCTAAATCTGTATTTAACATTGATCTTTAGGACGGGTGAGGATGAGTCTCAGAATGACCATGGCAATGAAGATGATAGCAAATAGCTCGGTGTGGATGCCAAGGGGTGAACATTGGTATAGATATTATAGTCATTTCTCAATAATTTCATTCTCCTCACATCGTACACTTAAACTGACAAACCACACCATCATCTATACTCGCATCTCCATATATACTCTCATCTACACTAACATTTAAACTCATGGACTTGATGTTCCCTCTTTTTTAAACTCCCAAGTAATAAAACAAGTTGCAAAAATTGAACATCTCTGAGGTATTTAGAATCAGTGAAAAGTCATAACACTGTCCTAGGAATCCAATTAAAATTTAAGCTTATGACAACTTTTGTGGTTAAAATAGGAGACAGTTCGTACAAGAATATCCATTTGAAATCTACCTCACACACATTGATCTCGAAAAGGAAAAAAACGCTGTAAAAGACGATAAGTTGAGTAATACTTACTGACTGTAGTTGTTTATAAATAACTTGCTATTCTGTCTGTTTGGACGTGTATATTAGTAATAGTTTCTTTCGTCAGAATGAATAAAAATATACACAGCATACATAATTCACCTTTTATATGAAGCTAAATAAATTCTTTTATCTTGGTTTTTAAAAGAATGATAAACAAGGTTATACATCCAAGTTGGTAAGAAATGTTTCTTTTTCTTTTGTTGACGATAATATTATTTATCTTCATACAGTTTCTTCTCTGCTTGAAAAAGATAATAACAAACATCTTGAGGAGTGTGAGTATAGATGTAGATGTGAGGTAGGTATGGACAGGAGCGACAGTTTGGATGTAGATGTGGGTATCATATTCAATCTTTTCGCACAATCAAACATACGCCACTGGTGTAATCAAGGGGAGGAAAATGAACAACTATCTATTTCATCTGAAGCTTTGCCTATTTAAATTCTACTTTTTCAAAATCGTTTATATATTCTCGATTAAGATAGTAACTAAATGTTATTCAGTAAAAAAGATAGAAGTGCAGTTATACGATAAGTTTAATGAAAATTAAAAGTAAACAATACAATTTAGAATTTTCGACCATGACAGCTGGAAACGTTGGCAAACTCGGTCATCATCAGTAAATAATGCTAGTGTTGTAATCGTAATAATAATAATAATCATAATAATAATGATTATTTTTCTTTAATTTTGACTTATTTACATGCAGTACTTATAAAACTTGAATATATTTATTGGATTGATGTTTGTGTTATTAGTTATATTATTATGATTACAACATTAGCATTATTTACTGATGATGACCGAGTTTGCCAACGTTTCCAGCTGTCATGGTCGAAAATTCTAAATTGTATTGTTTACTTTTAATTTTCATTAAACTTATCGTATAACTGCACTTCTATCTTTTTTACGTTATTTTGTTACTATCAAGTTATTTCTCTTTAAATGTTATTCTTCCGTATGAACTATATGCACTCTCTGCTTGATCTTATGAAGAATGAAGAAAAGAAAAAGAAAAAGATCGCTTCTTGCATTTTAACTTTAATTTGGATAAACATGAGTATGAATGATGTTATTAGGAGAACGTTAGCAAAGTGAAGGACTTGTTACTGTGGATTTAAATGAAATATTAAAACTGTGTACGTAAATGCATTCTCGTCGTCTTCATTTTGATGTTTGAATTTGAAATACAAATATTATGAACAGAGACATTAAAAATAGACTAAAATACATCTCATCCAGACTTCACATCTGAGTTTAATATATATATTTAGTTAAAACTCTTCATTTTATTTTATGTTTTTTTTTGCGTTATTAATACATTACTGAACTAAAATTTTTTGACTGGTTAATAAGAATCTTGCCCATTTTACCTGGAGGGTGAGTGTGGATGTAGGTCTTGTCTCTTTACCTATATTTATATCCAAACACACCCACACCCACACCCCTTTGTTAAGTACAATTTAGTTTTTAAAAGTAGTTCTATGAATGTCTATATGCTGTTTTGAAAGTTAATTACGAACCCAATGTGAACTAAGGCCAAACGGCAGTTACGTTGTCCGCTTTCCATCCTTGATCCGTTTCTGTAATATCAAATTCAACATGTTTACCAGAATATAGAAGTGAGCGGTTGTTTAATACGGCTGTAGAATGAATATAAAAATCTCTATCGAAACCAATACATTCGATCACTACAATACGAGGGCTTTTACCATTTAACTCTTTTACAGTGCCATGAAGTTTTCTATTGACATTAACGTTCGAAGGATGAGCGCAAGAAATGTATGTTTTGTTACGTTCCATTTTGGCCAAACTTTTACAATCAATACGATGATCGGGAGGCATTGCTAGCCAATAATGATCAATATATAGGGTATCAATTAATAGTTGTAAGACTGTTTCTTCAAATTTAATTAATCGTCCACTGTCGTTCATTGCATTGAGTGTTCTAGAAATAAAATTCCAGATTCCATTGAGATATGAAAATCCACCTCCAATAAATACTGCATCTCGTACTTGCCAATGTCTGTAAATAAAATAATACAGGCGACCATGAAGATATATACCAGGACGTTGTCGCCGTCTTCTTTGCGGTATATTCTTCAAAATCCAATCGGATTGTTTTATATAAATATCACCAGTCGAATAACTAACCAAGCCAACGTAGTTTTGTTTAGGATCAAATACGTCGGAAATAGGATGAATACGAAACGATTGACAGTTGTTTAATAAGGAACGACGTGCAAGTAAAATGTCTGGTTTATCATCGATGTTCATCACTGAGCCACCTGTTGTAGACACTATTAAAATCAAATCTTTTTTATCGATACATAGCAATATATATATTGTAAATAGAGAGAATAAGGGTGTAGGTGGGGATAAGTGAGACTGGCGACGATTCGGGGTGGATGAGGGTGTAGGTATCCTTGGTGTGCGATTATTATATCTACGCTCACGCCCACACTCATCCATCTCACACCGTCACCACCGACGCTCGCGCTCTCAAATTTTTTTCGTCGAATTCTTTACAGTAAATTTATTTCGACGAATTCCTTTCAGTGAATTTCTTTCGGCGAAAGCAGAATTTACCAAAGAGATCATCATAGTTTAATACTACGGGTGAGAAATCACATAAAAACTTTATGCTAATTAAATTGATCGGTTTGATAAGACAGTCATGACTAATTGTCATCATCATACCGATAATTTCTGTAGGAAAATATATTGGACTAATGAAATTACCATGGAATAGCTCCAAATACTGTGAAGCAGCTAAAAGACAAGATAGTCTGGTTCGCTATTGTATACTACAAAGCAGTTTTTCTTTATCTAAATAGCAATATTACAAATAATAACATCTGTCAATATAAACAATAATGATCATTCTATGTTAATATCTATCGATGTTACTGTATTCAGTATAACTATACAAAACAAAACTAGCAATTGAACCTTAGAATTACCTGATTCTTAAGAAGGTAGAACAAATGGTTGAATAGTAGCGGTAGTATCGACTGTGCTCTTCTTACAATCTGTAATAATGGTTTTTTTTCACTTGCTATAAATGTTTATGCTGAAAATTTTTGTAACTATGGACAAGTGAAAGGAAAGAAAGAGAACAAGAAAAAAAATACAGTTGTGTCTCATTTTTTTTTTCGCAAGGCTATTCTACGAATGCTGTCATATTATGTTTTTCTTTCTCTGTCTTCGAGTTGTGTGTAAGTGTAAGAAGGTAATTAACCTTCAACGAAAAGATTTCGATATTGTGCATAAATGAGAATACTATCTTGTGGGCATGTTTCTTGAGGGTAGGATGTGGGTGTGGGTATGACTACTCTTTCCATCGAGATCTACACCCACACCACAAAAGATTCAATTGTAAATCGACTTTTAAAGAAAACATTTCGTACAAAGAATATGAATTTTATTTGTGACTTTCAGTATTTTTCCACTAGTTTATATCAGAAATGCAATAAGAAATATATCCTTTGACTGTGTTTATCGAGGACAAATTCTTAATATAAATGACCTTAAACGATTACAATCAAATGTTAAATCACTTATTTCAATGAATACATTTATGTTAATATCATGTACTGAAGAAGTTGCTCTTACATTTATTTGTGGAGCATTTAACGAAGTATTCGAGTATTCATCTGTTCAATCTTTCTGTTACCGTTCCACTCAATGGAGACTTTAACCGTCGAAGTATTCGATTATCTAACTTTTCGACTTTTCTATTCATCACATTTGCAAAGTTTTAGTCTGATTATTAGAATTTGAAAGTAATATCACAGTCTAAAAAGTTTTAATTGTGGTAATTTATAACGTAATGGTAAAATGACTAGTTTTACCCTTATTGTCACTGCTAGCTGAAAACACGATTGAATCGATAAATACTCGAATTCATATTCGGTCTTTACATCTATCCATCGAAAGACAAAAAAGTAACACAACACTTACTATTAAGTAATAAAATAGTTTCCTTCTCTTTGTACGAGAGTGATAATATTTTTTTGTGAAAAAGAAAATGTAACAATGACAGCAAAAATATTCCGTCCGATATTGAGAATGCAAGAACGCTGACAGACAAGTTTCTTTTCCGAGAAAGAGTCTAAGGACGAGAGTAAATAATTTTTTTTTCGGGAAGAAGAATGCAGAAATGAGTACAAAAAAAATTCTTCCAACAAAGAGAATATAATTATAATGATGGGCAAGTTTTTCCTGGAAAAATAGTGTAGCAACACAAACAAAAAACAATTTTTCGAGAAGGTAGAATATAGTAATGAGAGTAAGTTGTGCTCACAGAAAATGCTTGCATATTTTGCTCACTCTTTGCAACTAAAAACACAAGGAATCCTTACTGGACCTTTGTGAAATTCTCAAAGATATAGAACGGAGGTACCAACGAGATATCATAGAGAATACGACTCATTTTTTAAATTGATTTGACCCTTCGCGTCATACACATTTTGACATTGTCATCAAAAGCTGGACAGGAAAGAGTTTAATTTGAAGTATAATTAGCTTGGATGTTCACGCAGATTATTTCAACGTATAAGAAACTAAAGACACGAAATGGGTTGCGTCATTTTTCTTTGTCAGGTGAGCCACTTTTTTTTCACGTATATGTTTGCTCCTTCTTATGATTTTACTATATTTAAGTAGTTCTTGAAAAACTACGCATACAATGTTCAGACAGGCCTTTAAAAAATTACAAGTATTACGCCCATATAGACCTTGAAAGATTATCGTGTTGATGAAAGGAGGGCAGAAAGTAGGTTGGGTGATGGTAAAGTAAGAACTTTAGTGTAATCAGCTAGTTTTTTTCTATATAAAGTGAGCCATATTTCTTTGGCTGACATGTTTGACTCGCTTCCTATGACCTTATTGAACTTACTTTAAATGATGAAATATGCGAGCATATTGAAGACTTAATTTGTGATTTTTAAAAGCATGTTCTTCATTGTAAAACCAATCATTATCTATTTATGAAAACAGATGATTTCCGTAATATATTTACAAGTGAAGAATTCTCTTTGAATAATTTATCTATGAATATGATATATATTTATGTTACTTTTATATTTGGTAATTTAAGATACTACAAAAAATATCTTCTCATAAATAGTATTTCTATCGATAATCCTTAACGAAAAGTTATTGATTACGGTATTGTCATTATTAGATAAAAAAAATTTATTAACAATTGAAACTTTATAATCATATTGACAATGTTTGGAATGATATGGATAATATCGATCATGTTATCAACAAGCATTAAATATTGGAAGCACAAATGATATTTTTGGATTTGATACTGATTAGAATACAAATGATTTACTTTCAAAAAAAAACTTAATTGAAGATTCTATTTATGAAAGACAAATAAATGATACTGATAGTCACTGTTCGTATCACTGTTGTTGTATTTTTGTATTGTCTCATTTGTTTTTTCGTCAATAAAATGATCTAGATGTAAATAAATCATTGAAATCACAATGTCACTTTTGATTTTATAATTGGTAGTTTTCAAATTCTTTACATTAATGTCTCAGGGTTTCAGATGATTTCGAATAATTTCTAACGTTGACATCAGCTTATTTTCTCTTTGATTAGTCGAGGTACGATTTTAAGGCTTCGCACATACATATATTTATATAAAATGAAACAAATCTTAAATAAAAATGCTATTTTCTTAATCAAAAACTCTGTCAATAGAATTCAGAAATAATGTGCTTAGAAACAATCTATCTTTTATATACAATACATTGTTACTTGTTTGCACAAAAATAAATAAGAGTAAGGTGTACGCGTGATTCTAGGAGCAAATAAAATTTGTCGACACCCGCACCCTCAAGATACAAAACATATAATTATATATTCCTTATCAAGCAGAAGAAAGGGCAGCATGATGACGAGTATTGACAGAAAGAAAAGAAGAATACGTAGTATCAGTAAGAATACGTAAAATATTACTCATAAAACACAGTCAAACGCGAGTGTCATTACATGGATATAATATTGAATTTTCTCCGATAAATCATCATCCAATAGTCTTGAAATTCATTACTTTTGATAAACAATCTGTCGCTTGAAATCCTTTAACGATTTGTCTCTAGTAGTAGTACTCCATTGTAAATATACTGATAAGAAAAAAGTTGTTTTAGTTCCTCATCAATTCCGGTAAACATTAAAACGATTAAATACTTGTATAATTTGTTTTTAGAAAAATTAAATTGTATTAAGCTTCTAAATATTTATGAGCGATTTTCATTATTTATAAATTGTTCGAAGACATTAGGTTATTATAAAGCGACATATACAACGTTGGCTTGGTAAGTTAATACTCGTGCTTTTTATTTCGTTCTTAACATGTATTTTCAAGTGGAAAAAAGAACTAATATGAAATCGAAACAATATCAATTCTACACAGAATTACTTATACATACTTGATATGCAAATTTATCTCGATTTATTCAAGAAGAATAAAGTTGAATATAAATCATGCACTTATGCTATAGATATATTAGAGAACGAAAGCAAATATTTACGTTCGTCGCAATGTATTTCACTGATGTATAGGACGTCTTTTCTACGAGGAATAAGTGTCTGGTAGTCGATAAAACGTAAGATTCCGCGACGAGATTCATAAATAAGAGAGAAACTTAGTTTTCAGTTATGAGAGTATAGGTTTATCCAGTCATAGCAATAACGTCGGACACTATTTGTTTGCTCTGAACTGCACTGTAAAGTAGAAAAAAAATATATTATAAATAAAAGAAGATATTCCAGGAGGAGTGTCAATATGTGTTCATAGATGAATTTCTACTTTCTTGAAATTTCGATATTTAAAAAAAAATAGAAATTACAAGTTCGATTTTCTAATTACTCAGATAGAACGATACGGTACTGTATCACTGTGCCCGTGGTTATTGATAAATACAGTTTATTTACGGCTGTACAGGTGCAATTTTGTCACTACGTTCTGAAAAAGTATCGTAAACAGATCCATTTTGGTTAACCTTGATGAAATCTACTTATTCAGGCATACGTTAATTGCTGAGATGTGAGAAATAAAAGAAGTGAAAATAAATTTCAAGTTTATTTTTAGAGATTTTTAAGTTATTCACCATTTATTTTCTCATCCTGTATAATGGCTACTAATATTGTATGTGTTAATACAAGACCAAAGCATATAATGATATCCTATGCTTGGACAGGAACCCAAGATCTTGCGTATGAAGTAGGGGAACAATTACAAAATGAAAATATTCCAATTTGGATGGATATTCGTAATGGACTCGGTGGAAATGTCAATGATGGGTAAGTAAGAAAAAACTTGTTAGAAACATTTTAGAATTTTTCGCCCTACACCATGATATTTAAAGGAGATAATCACCAAACACGGGTGTAGGTGCATCTTTTCTTTATCCACACACTCAAGATTCGTCTTAGGGAAATTAGAATTCATCATTGATATTATCGGTTTTAGGATGGCACAAGCTGTAGAAAATAGTGCTGCTATTTGTTTCTTCATGACACCAGAATATCAGAAATCGAAAAGTTGTAGAAAAGAATTAGAATATGCAGATAAACTAGAGATTCCATTGATACCATGTCGTTGTCGCGCAGATTTTAAACCTTCTGGATGGCTTGGCCTTATTTCTGCTGGTTTAATGTGGTATGATTTTCGAGATTTATCAGACGCACCAGTGAATGCAACTATAAATAAATTAATCAATTATATTCAAACAAATATTTTTCAAATGACACCAACAGTATTTCCAGGTAAAATCTCATAATATTATGAACGAAAAATAAACTTTGTTCTTTTAGATGTGGACGGACGAACTTTACCAGTGATATTTCGTAATCGTCATCAATATCGAGCTGTAACTCCAGACAATGAAGAATTTCCTCTTTGTAACGAACAAACGACATTGTGTCACGTAGATTCTGATAATGAACTAAATGGTCATCGTTTCACTTCATTGTATGATCTTGATAGTACGAAAAAAATGTCAATGCCTTTTGAAGGTTATGAAAAAGAAGCTCTCGTAACACTTGAACAAGCAGTTCAATCAATTGTTCATCTATTTAATGGTGATATTCATCGATATGTTTATATTGCTAAACAAAATACATGTAAAGCAAATGATATATTAACACCTGATGAATCAGCTGCAATTCATCTTTATTCAATGCAATGGACTCCTGTGATCGATAGTTTATATATTCATCTCAATCGAGCATTACGTGCAGTTAATCGACATGCTCTTACTCCTTGGTTTTTCTATTTAAAACTTTTCTTAACTGCACTATATAAATTACCTTCTTGTCATATGACAATTTGGCGTGGTGTTAAAGGTGATTTAAGTGCGCAATATAATAAAGATGAAGATATTGTCTGGTGGGGTGTAAGTTCATGTGCTGTTTCTGTTAGTGTAATCGAACAATTTATTGGTAAAACGGGTACGCGAACTATTTTTTCAATTGAAGCAATCAATGCAAAATTTATTCGTGAACATGCATATTTTAAAGAAGAAGATGAAATTGTTCTTACACCAGGAACTTATTTGAAAGTTATCGATAAAATGCAACCAGCAAAAGATCTTACTATTATACATTTACGAGAAATTATACCACCTTTTCCTCTAGTTACGTCTCCATTCGATGATAATAATGAAGAACAGATTTTAATTAATTCAACAAATCCAACAGAAAGCACAGTAACATCCTTAGCGAAGAAGATTTATGAATCAATTCTTTTCAAATAAAAGCAAAAAGAAATAAAATAAAATTTTATAATATGAAAGATTTTATTCTAAGGATGTGGGTGTTGGTGTGCGAGTGCGTGTAAGCTTAAACCATAAATAGGTTACTCACTGTGACATCCATTCATCCTTACTCCACATTCACACCCTCTCGTTCTTCCACCTAGTGAGCATTGTGTAAAAAAATACATAAAAAGAAATGTTTCATGTTTGTTCAAATAAACTTAATCGTATTAATATGTCTTTCTATAATTTATTATTTATTTTCTCAATAATTGAGGGTAAATGTGAGTATCTCTTCTCGTCAACTACCCACATCCTCACTCACTACTATTTTGAAACAGTTTTTGTGCTTTAATAGGTACCGTTTTACAGCTCCATATCTCATCGTGTAATAAACGATTGCATACTCAACAGTCAAACCATTTACGATCGTTATCAGTTGTGCACAGAACGATAAAACAAGATCGCAAATTGTATGAAACAAAAGTAAAAATGAACTTGTTGATCGTTAGGATGACTGTAAAAATTGTTTTTGAGAATATTATGTATCTATTTTAATATTAATCTCGATAAAAAATGATCGAAAAATATCTTAGATAATTATAGCAACAACAAAAAGCAGGATCTTATATTGGTAAGCCATATGTACTAATCATCTGTAACATCCATTGTCACAATCTAAAAGATTGTACAATTCTCCTTTCTACTTTCTCGACGCTTTTTCTTTCCTTCGTCCTTTTTCCTTTATTCCTCCTCTTCGTACCGATGTGCATGCTATAAGAAGAACATGCGCTTATCATCCGCTGATACATTATTATCCTCCGACTTCTTTATGTACCAAACTATAGAAAGGACGAGGGAAATACAGTATGGTTACGATTTCTTTGGAGGAATAGAGATTTATATAAATATATATTCTTCTACATTTCTATACTGACTCAGAAATCGTTACATCCATACCCTGAATAAATAAGTTATAAAAGTACTTTATCTTGTCCTTTTTACTACGTATATATCAGAACGCTATTCCAATATTTATATATCTACCTGAGAAAAAAATATCATCCTTCGTTTCTTATTTAGCAATTGATTATATCAAGGTTGTTTTTTATAACCAAAGATTATTTCATTTTTTCTTTTATAGTACCGTTTTGTGATTTTGAGTACCCATAATATATTAGTATTATTACGTACGTATGAAGCGATCAAGCTTTGACTTTTCAACAACCGATAATAACATGACATATAACTCACAAACTATTGATCCAACTTTAATCTCAAAAACATTAGAATCCCCGACTACAATCGACCACACTCCGTCTATTGTAAGTATCTATGATATTCGTAGCACTCGACGTCGTCTTTTCATTTTAATTACGTTATCATTCTCTGGTCTTATTCTTCCTTTTTCTGATACCGTCTATTTACCGGCATTAATCGAGATAGAACATGACTTACATGCAAGTACTACACTAGTCGATTATACAGTTTCGGCATATCTTATTGCAGCCGGCGTTGTTGGTCTTCTATGGGGTCCTTTGGGTGATCGATATGGGCGTAAAATTATACTTTTAATATCGTTCGGTTTCTTTGTTGCATTTACTATTGTGTGTATTCTGGCACGTTCGATTATTGTACTACTTATTTTTCGTGCATTACAAGGTGGAGCAATATCTGCATCATTTGTTGTCGGACAAAGTGTTATTGTTGATATATATCGATCTGAAAATCTTGGTTTTGCCATGGGTCTTTTTCTTGTTCCATTACTTGTCGGACCTATCCTTGGTCCATTTATTGGTGGTGCTTTATCGAATTGGCTCGGATGGCGAAGTACATTTATTACATTGGCTATCTTAGCTGTCCTATCTGCTATTCTAATTCTTGTATTTGTTCCTGAAACACATCATTACTTTGTAATGAAACAATTACGAAATCCAACGAATAAATGCTGTTCTAATAAGAAGAAAATAGATGCAATAGAAGTTCAAGAAGCTGATAGTATTTTAAAGCCTCATTTTATGGCACCGTGGCGTCCATTTGTATTCTTATTCGATATAACTATGGCACCACATATAATTGCTTGTAACATTAATTATGGTTGTTTATTTATTATACTTACTCTTATGTCTAATCGAGCATCTGAAGAACCATATAAATTAACTCCGTTCATCGTTGGTGTTTGTTATATTCCAACTGGTATATCTTCACTTGTTGGTAGTTTATTGGGAGGTTATGTTTCAGATTGCTCAGCCAAACGTTTTTCACGAGTCATGGAAGGTCGTCTCATTTTCAGTTTATTAGGTTCTCTAACTTGTCCTATTGGATTATTAATATGTGGATGGACGTTTCATTTTGGTGTTCATATAGTTGTACCAATTCTTGGCATCGTCATCTTTTGTTTTGGTGAAACATTTTTATTTACGAGCGTTTGCGCGTTTATCAATGTTAAGAAACCAGCAATGGCTGGTGCACTTCTTGCGCTCCTTAATTCGCTCAGTTTTACATTTGCTGGTGTAGGACTTATCGTTACTGTTCCATTAGTGAAATTGATAAATTATGGACCATTGTTCAGTATTTTGGCTGGATTAAATTTTCTTATTATAATTATTGCTACAGGAGTTGTATTGTATCAGATTCGAAAATCCAGAATTGTGATCTTAACATCCAATAATTTAAACAAGGAACCTTGAACAATTACAGACGATGCGACAACAGAAAAAACACTTCCCATTCAACGATTTTCATTTTCAGAAAATACTTGATAAAGAACTAGGATGATTGGATCGATTACAATGAAGAGAGAATGCTCGTCTATATATACCCTTACACTGGGTAATCTAATTCGTTTTTAATAAAAACTATAGACGATTTTAGCATTACACGTTTTCTGCAATATATTTGAAATGAAAAGAAAAAGAAACGTCTAAAAAAACAAACAAGAATTTTATCTTGAGGGTGTGGATCTGATGTTTGTTTATTTCTTACACCCACACCCTCAAGATGTTCATTAAACTAACAACAACGAAATCTTTTATGCTATCACTGATATTATTCTAATTGTTCGTCTATTGATCTTTTTCATCACAGACATTTTCAGTCGTTCGATAATTCCATACAGAGTAATCATTACAAGTCATAAGAATACATCGACAAATATTTCGGTATTCTAAGAAAAAAATAACATGAGAATAAATATAACATAGGGTATACTAAAGATGAATAAAACAAATACAATCGACACAATATCACGAATCATTCTTAATTCCCTTTGTGAACGAATTAATCTGCTCACTGGATTGATATGTTTACTCATTTTTCTAAAATAGTAAACCATTTTGAAACAGAATAACATCAGTCTGATCAACGGAATGGTATACTTATAAAAAGCGTTAAAAATAATTAAGGATGAGAGACAGAGTCATTTGATATATCTGATCATGAATATGCTAGATAATTCGATTAGTAAACACGATTGAAATAGGATAAATAATTCTACAAATTCATACTAAAGAAATGAGGAATACTTGAGGATGTGGATGCATGAGGAAATAAACAAAACAATACTCATTCACACACACACCCACACCCTCAAGATGCAAGTTTCAGCTGAAGCTTTCAACTCGTATGCGTTACCGTTGCTTTCTTTCGCGGAATAATTCTTTTTTTATCTTTGCAAGATGACAACATTTTAGATTTTTTCTCTCCCATCTTCTATTCTCTTGGTTTCTTCCAACTATGCGTTTATCATCGAAAGAATACACATAGCCAAAATAAATATTTAGAGTGGAAGAAATAGCAAGTTCAAAAAGAGACCATACATATACAATGGAGTAGGCTTTGATACTACACGTCAGTTTCAAAGGTAAAATACACGTCATTTGTTTTTATATGTATGATAAGAAAGCAAATGTGTAAATGAGACACGACGTAGCCATATAAATAGTGTATGTCTCAGAAGCAAGCATATATTTGTGTATAAAACTGTTGAATATCATTACAATAGACGGTCTGCTTATTTGTGTGGTATATATCTATTGATAGCATAATGCATTTAATCTGTTATGAACTTCTTCTTGTCATCTGTTTAGGAATTAAAGCGAATGATGAACGCATTTATATTAATCACGAGGTTCCTCGAATTCGTGAACCTTCTATTATTGAACATTATAATTCTAATTCTGGTATTCATGAATTTGTTAATCAGAACTATGATGCTGCTTATATTCGTGGGACTCTCAAACAAGTGAAGGAAAATGCTGATGTTCTCAAACTTATTAAACAACAGCAGGAAAATGCTGATGTTTTCAAACTTATTAAACAACAGCAGGAAAATGCTGATGTTTTCAAACTTATTAAACAACAGCAGGAAAATGCTGATTTTATCAAACGTTTTAATCAAAAATATGATAATGCTGATATTCTTGCATTTGGCAGTCATAACGATGATACTGTTCATATGTCTGAACTTGTTCATCGTCTGCGTGATGCTAAACCTGTACCTATTGAATTTGTCAGTCGTAAACCTGTCACTCGTAAACCTGTTACCCCTAAACCTGATATTCTTAAGCCTGGCACTCTCGAAGCTGTTACTCTTGAACCTGGTACTCTTAAACCTGATACTCTTACGCCTGGTACTATTGAACCTAGTACTCATAAGCCTGTTACTTTTGAACCTTTTACTCTCGAACCGGATACTCTTAAACCTGTTATTCATGAAACTTCAACTAATCGTGCAAGTGAGAGTTCAGATGGGGTTGGTCATTCTGGTGGAACTAAAAATAGTTCATGTAATACTGTTGGATGCCAAAGGGGTTTATTTCTCTCCAGCGTCGCTGTTGTTGTTGTTGTAGTCATTTGTTTAGCCTGCTTTTTAAAGCATTATGGGTTAGCGGGGAAAGCTCGAAAATCACCGTCAAATGTGCTACCTGCTCAAAACGTTACTAATCCGGTTTGTCGACAAAATAGATCCGGCACTAATATATTCAAATCTGGTTTTTGGGAAACTAGATATTTTCAAGATGACACTTGGCATGGTCCTCATCAATTGTCACTTTGGTTTGATCCCAATCATACGACACTGACAGGGTTAGGAATGGACGATGTCGGTAAATTTACTTTCGCTGGCACTTACTCAAATGAAACACGTCAAATTGATGTTAAGAAAGAATATTCAGAATACCTCGATAATCGATCAGAAAATTCAGATTATCCAACTACTATTCAACTGATGTGGAATTCTAAAACGGATCAATTTGAAGGCAAATGGTCTGTGCAAACAGATGAATATAACGGCGAAGATTTATTTGACCTTAAATTTCAAAAATCACATCTACCAGTGATACATGCCGAAGTCTAACTGACTGTTTATTCTCCTTAATTCTGTATTTTTCTGTGATAGATATCAGACTATATAAGACAATCAGCAAGATATTCAGCAAAAATAATAAAACTCCAAAAAACAAATTACGGGTTAAACTAAGTTGAGCAAAACTAAAGGTTTCAGGTGCATATTTTTTTAATTAAATCGAATATATCATCTAAGTTTTTCGATGAATTATCTTCATTGCTATCATTTGATCGAAAACATATACCATGATGCACTGGTTGTTATTGTGTCTATTTCTGCATTCTCAGCTACAAATGAAGAGAATGTATCTTCAGGTTGTGTGTAAAAAGAAGACACAGGCCCACATCTACACTCTCAATTCACAAAAATTAACTTTACCGAAACTTAAAGAGATCCTGAAAAGGATCCTGCTTAATCATAAAAAATCCTGCAATCATGAATTAGTAGGATTCAAAGAACAAGTTTGAATCAACTTGACGAGACGGATTGAGACAAGGAAAGAAGCGTAAAAATGTTGTTACATACAACAGAGATAGCATTACTTATCTTAACTAATGTTGAGAAAGAGAAAAAATTCTTTTTTTTCTTTTAAATTTATCTTTCGATACGATGAAAACCGTGTGGTAAACAAGAATAAAGTCCAGCCTTGAGTAGGTAATAAGAGAATTAAAATAACGACTTGACTCAAAAAAAGATATCAAAACAAAACAACACTCTAGGATGTGGATGTCCCTCTTTTTTATCCACACTCACCTGTTCGGGGAAAATGTATAAAGCACCTCTCGCTTCTTTTATACCAATATTTACTGATTTACTATTTCAGATCTACTAAAAATAACGTCAAGATCAGTTTTCCTACCTACGAACATACGACATGGGTGGCAAAACATCAAAGTCTGCGTGCAGTCCTTCAGTAGAACAAGCGGATAATATCACTTCAATGCAGCGTTCATCCGTACGTTCCCAAGTCGTTCAAAAAACTTTTCTCGTTTGGTTAGATTCAAACATTCACGAAACCAACAACGATTGTCGTTACTCATTAATTCAACTACGGCGCATCGTTAATACTATCGACATATTCAACAACGCTGATGAATGCATTGATTTTCTGGCTAAACTTAAAGATGAAAAGGTTTTTATGATTGTGTCTGGTGCTTTCAGTGAGCAGACAATATCTATCATACATAATATGCCTCAAATTGATTCAATCTATATTTTTTGTGCCAATAAGTCATGTGATGAACAACGAGGGAAAGCGTGGTTCAAAGTAAAGGGTGTTTTCAATCAAATTGTGCCTATTTGTGAATCAATCAAACAAACTGCAAGACGTTGTGAGCAAGATTCTATGTCTATGAGTTTTGTTCCGTCTGGCGGTACATCAATTCAAAATTTAGACCAAATCGATCCATCATTTATGTACACACAATTATTTAAAGAAATTTTTATGGAAATAAAATTCGATAAACAACATATTAAAGATTTGACCACCTACTGTTATGATCAGTACGCTAAAAACGACCACGAATTAAAAGTTATCCAAGACTTCGAGCGAAATTATCGTCAAGATCGAGCCATCTGGTGGTATACTTGTGAATACTTCTTGTATGCAATGCTCAATCGAGCTTTACGCACTCTGGAAGTAGATATTATCATTAAGATGGGTTTCTTTGTTCATGATCTTCATAGAAATATCGAACAATTGCACTTGGAACAATCTAGTGAATATGTACAACCATTTATTGTATATCGAGGCCAAGGTATGTCAAAAAGAGACTTCTCAAAAATGATGAAAACAAGAGGTGGACTCTTTTCATTCAACAACTTTGTGTCGACAAGTGCAGACCGAGATGTTTCTTGCGCTTTTGCTGACAGCAATCGAGATAATCCCGATTTGATAGGAGTTCTTTTTGAAATGACAATCGATCCATCGATCTCGTCGACTCCGTTTGCTGATCTACGTAATGTTAGCCAGTTTTCATCAGAGAAAGAGATTCTCTTCTCAATGCATACCGTATTTCGTATCGGTGAAATTAAGCAACTTGATGAAACCAGTCGGCTATGGCAGGTCGAACTCACACTGACGAGTGATAAGGATCAACAGCTTAACGAACTCACTAAACTGATACGAGAAAACAAGTCGTTTCAAGGTTCAAAAGGATGGTATCGACTCAGTGAATTGCTCATTCACCTAGGTGAGTTTAACAAAGCCGAACAGATTTACCGAATACTATTCAGCATGGCATTAGATGAGGATGAACGAGCGGAAACTACTCATCAGCTCGGACTGGTTAAGAATTATCAAGCGGACTATGCCGGAGCACTTGTATTTTACGAAAAAGCTCTTCAAATCTTACGAAAAATTCGTCCACGAAATCATCCTGATTTAGCTAATTCGTATAGTAGCATCGGCGGGATATATGACAATATGGGAAAGTACACGAAAGCAGTTTCATTTTATGAAAAATCACTTGCAATATTACAAAAAACTCCTTCTCCAAACCATTCCAATTTGGCCACTGCATTGAGCAACATCGGTTTGGTGTATGACAATATGAAAAACTACACAAAAGCACTTTTCTTTCATGAAAAAGCACTTGAAATTCGGCAAAAAACTCTGCCTGTAAATCATCCTGATCTGGCTCAGTCTTACAACAACATGGGCTTGCTATATAACAACACAGGAGACTATTCAAAAGCATTTTTGTTTTACAAACGCGCTGTCGAAACTGGACAGCTATCACTGCCTGCAAATCATCCTCATCTTCAAATATATCGAAAGAGCCTCGACATTGTGAAAAGAAAATTGTAATTGACGGCTCTGTAGAGTAAAAATAAACGAGAGTGTGGATTGAAAATGAATATGATTACACGTACACCCTTATTTGAGGGTGTGGGTGCGGATATGATATGAGAAAATCAGCCACACTAACCCATACACATCTATTTTTCTTAGGCAAAAAATGTCAGAAGAAAGGGAACAAGAGTCGCTTTGATAATCAAAGAACGTGCTTGTTGTAATACTATTAATTTTCGTTCTACGATTTTATTAAACTTTCAAGACTCGAAGCTAAAGATCTTGAAGGTGTGGGGTGTAAGCAAAGAATAGACATTCACATCCTCAAGATGATCAGACTCTTATTTTATTATTGTTTTGTTAATTTATATACAATTCATTTTGTTGCTACGTAATATGAATAAGTGCCGATTTTAGTATTAATAAAATCTGATTCATATACATTTTTAAAGCCCACTTGTTCGATAAATTTCGGTAAAAAACCATAAACATTATCATTAGTAGTTGCAAAACCATCAAGAAGTTGAACAAAATAAAATGCAAACCGCATAATTTTCGATTTTGCTTGCCCCCAATCTCCAATGAGAATTTGTCCATTTGGTTTTAATACACGAAAAATTTCTTTCAAACAGGACAGTTTAGTTTCCTTGTCAAGTTGGTGAAAAACTAATGAACTAAATACTTTGTCAAATGAATTGTCAGCATACGGAAATGTTTTGCCGTCATAAAGGTCAAGAGATATATCAAAACCACGCTTATTTATTTTATATTCAGCAATTGCTTTGACTTTTGGATCAATGTCAACGCCAATAAGTTTCAATCTATCGTTCCGTTCATAAGCAAGAAGTAAATTCTGTCCTGTTCCAAATCCAAATTCTAAAATAACTTCTCCGGCATTTGGTTTTAATTCATCAATGAGCTTCTCTCTGAATTCTTTTTCAGGCATTGTTAATTTAATTGTGAAATCATAAAATGATGTCAGCCAATCGTAGCCCAATGCTGGAATAAAGCTTTTCTTGTCAACCGTATTTATAGTAGTATTTGTCCTTCCTGCTAATGGACGTGTTAACCAAGTTCCCATGAAAAAAGCACTAAAATTTGTCTCGCAAAAGTATATACTAGTAACTTCTGTTATGGACAGAGTGTGCGTCAATATAGAAATACAGGCTGCGATAGATAAGGCGGTGTAAAGAATAAAAAGATAAATATCAATGCATCTCTTCTATATGGCGTGTCATAATATTTGTCCTTTTTCAGTTTGTCTTTGGCTTTCACTATTTTCTCTTACAGTATTTATGATCATTCCTAATACTATATGAGGAGCGAAACAAATACAGATAGGGGCGATTTTTGATAACAAGAAATATAATAGAGTGTAATACCATCAGCGCAAGCATTTCGTTTGTCAAAAATAATTACAACCATGATCATAAAAGCTAAAATATATCAATACACTCGATATTTGCAATAATCAAAAGACAGGTGATTCAGCGTATGCCAATGCTAAGTGCAGGGGTGGCGCGACCGAAAGGGTGAATGTCGGGGATCTAACACCATCCCAACCTTTCGAAATTTCTATTTTTTGCTCAACAAAATCGGCAAATTTTCTTAGGTTTTTTACCAAAGATAATGCTACACCCCAAAAAAAACGCGAAATTCACCTTCTTATTCCACAAAGTTTCGGAATATTCACACCCACACCCTCAAAATTAGAATTTGCAGAAAGGTTTAATCAATAAAATAATATATATTTTAAAAGGATCATTTATACGATAGTATAACAAGCAGTTTTTAGAAGGAAAAAAGAGAAGCAAGAAGTTTGTTTTTCTATATAGCCTCAACCTGATTAAGTATCAAATTATAATTGTTTTAGTAGCTGTAAGAATAGAGAAAGTAACTATAATAATCAAGCCAATAAGTGTAGAAAAAATATTGAGAATTTTAGCAGATCTTGATGCTTGCAATGCACCTTGGAGATTTCCACACATTTTGTTGTTTCTTACTTTTCCAGACTTTATACAAGCAAAAATACCAAGTATGAAACAACAACATAAAATATTGAAAATTGACCATGATTTGTAGTCTGGGATAACCATTATCTGTGGTGTCATTGTAGGATTCATATTTATTCCATGGTTCATCATGACCGGTGCATGATGTGGAATTTGATAGATAAGTACCGGTTGAGGTTGACAAGATTTTGTGATATTTCCAGTCATAGTATGAGTAGCAGTCGGTGGTGGTTGATGCATTACAACATTATCCGCTCCTGCTTGTTTTTGATCACGATTATTTGTGTCGCTTAATTGTTTGTCGTTCATATTGATGATCACGATGAAAATTTTATCTGAAAAGAAACTATAAACGTTTTATTGTTAATCTTTTACGACTTAATGTTTAGAAAATGTTGTGCTCTCTTACAAAAAAATATTTCTCTTCTGTAATATGAAATCGTCTAGAAAAGACTAAAAAACTATTTTTTTTTCTAGAAAAATTATCTAATTCACTACATCAACATTAATATCTACCTTAGAAAATAAATATATGTTGCATTAATATTTGTCTTGTTTTTAATAAAAAAAAACTGTCAAGCTATCTCTTGTTCATTCAAATAATTCAAAAATGTAATCACATATTTCAAATAATTAATATTTGACTATGTCGTAGCAATAGAAAAGCATATGTTCTGCAAATAAACTGATATTTTCTGTATTCAACTTTCATCATATTCAATCGACAAAACAAAACAATTTTTAGGCAAATAAAAATAAATAAGAATGTACATCACAGTTGAAAATCGTTTTCATATAATGATTTAAAGGAAACATTTCTCGAGCAAAAACTTCACAGAAGATATGAATGTTATAAGTTATATAATAAGCTACTTCAGTTGCATTCGAAACTATCATACAGTAATCATGTTCAATTGGCTACTTTTTTGTTTTATTCGTATTGTTATCATCATCAGTATCTAAGACCTTTTTTAAATCTAAATATCGTGCGAGGAAATAAATCATCGACCAATTGAACTTTTTTTCAGATATTATAAAGAAAAAACAAGGCTACGGAATGAAAGAACAAATTTGACAAGTAGTATATTATTAAAATCGTGATAAATATACTGATGGGGTTCTTTTATACATCCTCTCAAGATAGGTATTATCAGGGATGGCGCGACTGGAGGAGAGGTGTGTCGGAGGTGTAACACACACCAGCCCAATCTCTGAAAATTTCTTTGTTTTTTGCTCAACAAAACCGGCAAATCTTCTTAGATTTTTTAAAAAAGATAATGCTACACCCTCAATCTTGGCTGACTCGTGCCTCTAAGCTTCGCAAACAGCGTCATTCTTTATTGTTTTTATCAATTGATATCGTCTTAAATTTGATGCTTAACTGCACTTAATCGAAAATTGAAATGGAAGAGGACGATTATTTTTCTTTAAGTATATTCTTCAAAAAAACTTATAAAGGCTTAACACAAGTACGAAATACGAAAAAAATGCAATTAATTCGAAATTTGAAAGAAAACGATATTTTATATCCATCGTCAACAATAAGCAGATACTCGTCGAAGGCTAAAAGTAATAGAAATTATCAATATTTTTATTGTAGATAAAACGACAAATGTTTAAAATTATCATTATTCTACTTATTAGTTTATTAAATCTGCCACGAGCAAGTAGGATAATTTCTTTAAAAACAGTCTATAACATAGAATCATTTTCAATTATTCCTTTAGCACCATGTGCAGCTCTGTATGGACAATGTGGTGGAAAAGAATGGACAGGTTCAACACAATGTTGTAGTGGATCAACATGTACATTTGGTAATGATTATTATTCACAATGTTTACCATCATCTGATTCATCAAGTTCAAGTAGTCCTACTACTATTAAAACAACACAGTCACCATCTGTTGCTGTTGATGACAGTCGTCAACATGGTGTTACAACTCGTTATTGGGATTGTTGTAAAGCAAGTTGTGGTTGGGGAGGTAAAGCATCTGTTACAAATCCTGTAAAGACTTGTGCACGTGATGGTTTTACATCTGTTGATGTCAATGCTCAATCAGGTTGTAATGGTGGTAGTGCATATATGTGTAGTAATCAACAACCATGGAATGTTAGTTCTTCTCTTTCCTATGGTTATGCAGCTGCTTATATTACTGTATGTAATTCTTTGTTTTCAAATAAGTTTATGTATATAAATGTATTTGATTAAGAATCAACGAGAATCAGACTGGTGTTGTGCTTGTTATTCATTACTATTTACATCGGGTCCAGTTATTGGTAAAGAATTAATTGTTCAAGTAACAAACACAGGTGGTGATTTGGGTAAAAATCATTTTGATCTTCAAATGCCGGGTGGTGGCGTAGGTCTTTTTGATGGATGTTCAAGTCAATTTATTGGTTCATATTCATGGGGTGATCGTTATGGCGGTGTAAGAACACGATCAGATTGTGATAAACTTCCAGCTAGTATTCGAGCAGGATGTTTTTGGCGATTTGATTGGTTTAAAAATGCTGATAATCCATCAATGAGTTTTAAGAAAGTTACATGTCCACCTGCTCTTACTGCAAATACACAATGTATTCGGAAATAAATTAAGAAAAAAAACAAAAGTAATATCTATATTTGATTGATTTGTGATTAATGGTTAAGTTTAAATAAAATTATGTTCACTTGATAATATATTATCATCAATTCGATTGCATATTGATCACACAAATCATGTTGAGTGCGTGGGTGAAATGCACGATTGAGAAAGAGAATCCCACACACTCAAGATGGATGTGGGTATCAGTGAATCTCTGCTTGCTTAATAGAAATCCACACCCACCCTCAAGATTTTAATTGAGATGATGACCTTTCGAAATTGAGTGAAAATATAAATTCAATGAAACGAATATGTCACCTCATAATCATTTTACTATCATCAATTAGTACGGTTGTGGATGTGCGATGGATGTAATACTCATAGTCACATCAACACCCACATCCGCACTGTAGTTTCCTATGGGGTGTGTGATCAACTATCCTAGATATAGCCGGTTGATAGTCATGAATAAACAGAGAAGATGTTAGCTACGAATAGAATTTCTATCTAACAAAATATTTATTACAGAAAATGAATGTTTATTTGCATGGTATAGTTTTATGTAAATGTTAAAAATGATTTGTTCAAATGTTTATTTCATTGATCATCATCTTCTAAATCTTCGATTGTAGGATTATTATTATCATCATTGTCGTTGTTATTATTATCAACACTGTCTATTTTTCTGTAATCAATTGAGTCATCATGATCCCAATGATCTTGACCAAAATGAGCTGTATCCACTTTTCGAACAGTCCAAACATCAAAACAAAGATCAGAATTTGTGATATAATCATATGGAATATAACAGTATCCTTTATCTCCCTGTGGAAAGAAACGTAGAGGTTACAATTATCGAAATAAAACAAAGATGATAAAATATATTATATAAATATATCTCACCCATTCGTTTCCCCATGAATTTCGAACAATAAATGATTGCGATTGATCACTATAACCTACAGCTAAGAGAGCATGACTAAAAAAATCGACATTTATTTTGTAAACATTATTTAGAGAAAACATACTTGCCATCTGATTGTCGATTAAGATCGAATTTACTTGGTGTCGGTACAACACCAGAACGAGCTGCTTGATCAAATGTTGAAAAAAGTTTCAAACCAAATGCAAATGGAAAACCATGTGCTAAACAAGATCTCATTTCATGTAAATCGATATTGATTTGAAATGCTTGTGTAATTTTATGCGGTTTTGCTTGTTGATAAGCTTGATCATTCGGATGCATATTAACTTTTGCAATGTCATATGGCCAGATCGACTCAAGACAAGTTCCAGATTCTTCAACTGCTTCAATAATACATGTCATTGTACATCCTGAATCTGTTACATCATGTTGATTAGGATTCTCTTTGATACGACCATTATAATAAATAAATAAACGACTCACATTAATATTATCATCAGTTTCTTTTTTTGTCAAATATTCATATGCTCCTAATAGTGAATAACATGAATCAAATATAAAGAAAGAGAGATAGAGAAAGAATTTATTACCAGCTAAACAATTCGCTGTGCTGATGTAAATAAAAAAAGGATTTTAATTTTAAATAAAAAAGTTCTAACGTCGTAAATAAATCTATCAAACTTTTTTTCCTTAAAATTCTATAAAAGATCTTATTGTGATAATGATACATTTTAATGAAACATATCTATTAGTTCTAGAACTAAAGATATGAAAGTTTGATAAATCGATTTACAATCTTCTAATCTTTCTGTCTTTATTTCTTACCAACTACCAATTTTCGATTGATCTTCGATTGGTGTCAGATGTTTTCGAAGGTCAGTTTTAGGTGGTAACTGATCAGAAGTATAAATCATATGATCACGAAAGACATGACACAATGTTTCTTTGTTGGGTAGACGAGTAGATGGTCTAACACCATTAAGACGGTATTTTCGAGTTTTATCATGACTGATCAAAAATGTCTTTAATTTCATGTTTTTCGATTCAAAATTTTTATCTAGCACAAAAATAAAATTTAATATGTCAACTGTAGCTAGAGATGTTGATTTATATTTTTCTATTAGGATGAAAAGTAGAATAGTTTTAAAAAATCTTTTCTTGATTTATGTATTATGTGGTTGACATTTTAGTTTTTCGTCTATAAAAATCAGTTGAATATATAATACTCACCACAATCAAATAATTAAAATGAAAGGATAAATAAAGAAAATTAACGAAATATTCAACTGTCGGTTTCATTTTGCATTTTATTTATAAGTTGATTTGTTTACGACGTAAAAAGGCGTTTTTATCTTATCTTTATTACGTAGTAATTTTTTATTTTACTCGTTCTTTTTCTATGACACATATTATATACGAAAAAGCAACACTCATGTGTTCTATTGCGATGAAAACGCAACTGTGTATGTTACTGGATGAGTATGTCACTGAAGATAAAGAAGAAATACTTACACCCTCAAGTTATTATTCGTTTTACTTTCATTAAGAAACGATTGACAGGGTGTGGGTGTGGGTGTGTATACTGTATCTGTCTCATACCCACACCTACACTCACCCTCAAAAGAAACTATCTTATAATACACAATAAACGATATGTAGCTAGGTTCTGATTGTTGTTTTAGTTCTCAGGTGTATAACAACACATAATCATTCATTTTATATGACTCTCTAGTATTTATATGGGGTTCACGATTTAGAATGTCATCGAATTTGATGTATGAAATGATGAAGAAATGTTTTTTTTGTTCGGTTCGACATTTCTCCAGTCAAACTAAACGGAACTACGAAGAAAATAAGTGAAGTAAAATAGCTGTTAAGAAAGTGCACTTAGTAACATCGTTGTGTGATATATACACGAGAAGTATTTTTCTCTATGGCGATTTTATTTAACATTTCTATTTTTAGGTTATTTACATTCTACATCTTCTTTTCTCCCTCTCTTTCATTATTGATTTATATATATTATCTTACCAGTTTCTTTAATATATAATGGTTTTGTCGATTATTAGATACCTCCTTCTCGTACAACTATTACTGCTGAACGGTTTTATAATAACCTCGAACAAGGTGTACAACTAAGTGACATTTTATGACTTAAAGAATACTTTTCTACAAGTTTAGCAGATTATTGTAATGAACGTGCATTAGCAAATAAGATTCATACAAAATGTGTACCGATTATTCTTTGTATTTAACAACCACAACATCTCAACAATCGTTCATTTATGAATTAAATTGTACAATGGTGATTTACATGTACGACAATTTAAGAAGTCATCTACATTAACATCAATGTGCAAACAGTAGTTTAATACGATGTCTTTGATAGTATTTTAAAAGCCTATCTTTTTTTTCTAGGTAACTCCTATTAGGCAAATAATCGAACAGCAATTGGAATTTAAATAAAATGGTATCGTCATATCGATGCTCTTTTCGAAAGATTTAATCCATGACCATTAAAACCTAAATCAATAATGATGACTCCGAATGTTTATATAATTGACAACAAGAAAAATCCAGCATTAGAATTTTTTTCTATTATATTGGCTCTTTTATCATATATTCATTTTGAATTTTCTGACGATGCTCAAGAAGCAATGGTTGTATTAGGAACTCAGCTTACAACTCCAGGTCAGTGTTTCTAATAGCAAGTGTACCAAGCATAATCGAAATGTACGGAACACTTGCTCCTCTTGAAATACACGCTGCGGTACACTTATCCTAAAAAGTAGAGTGTACGAAATACACTTTGTTTGATAAAATAACACTTTGCTTCTAATTCTGAGGATTTTCAAGAATAATATGAATTTCAAAAGTTATGCCTAAGCAATGAAACATTGTGACCTTTTTTGATACAAATTATCATTCGTATCTTGAAAAGATAATTGTGTTCGAATTTATTGTGTATTTGTTCATCTACTATTGTTTAATTGTTCTACGAAAGAAAGGCATGAACATTCTTCTATTTTTCACTTCTTTATTTTGTGTTAAACGTCAAGTGTAGTGGCGTAACCGGGGGGAGGGGCAGATAGGGCTTAACCCCATCACCGAGTGTTTAAGTCTCATCACCCGGATTTTGTGGAACTCATGTAAGTTTTCGAAGAAAATCGTGAGTGTAAATTTTAAGCTCAAGTTTCCCAGTTCCCCTCCCCCCCCCCCCAAATTCAATAAAAATACGCAAAAATCATTAAAAATAGCCATAAATTACTACAAATTTAATAAAAAAAATAACGAAAATGGCTATATATTGCGGGAATTTTTATGAAAATAATGACAAATCGCTAAAAATAGCTATATACTGTCGCAAATTTAATATAAATAACCAAAAATTGTCAAAACTAGCTATAAATTAACTAAATTTGAGCGAAAAAAGAAGACAAAGCGCCTAAACATGATCAGATATTTTGATGCGAACATACGTGAGTTCCACATTTTTAGCCCCAACGCGGCTGCGCTGATAAGCTTTTTTAGTTACTAAACTTCACAATCAAAAAATCCAAAAGACTAGACAGTTTTGGGCAGAGTTAGGCAACTCAGCAGAAAAAAGTGAATTAATTCAATTCAATTCGTGAAAAAAACTTTTGAATTTAATTCAACTCAATTCGCGTCCACTAAAAATTTTCCAAAATTCATCTCACTTCAATTCAATTCAGTCATAGCAAAAATTCCATTCAACTGAATTCATTGATTATGTATATTTTTTTCAACTCAACTTAATTCAAATTGAGTCATCTTAAAAAATTCTCTATGCAACTCAATTGAATTGAGTTGCTCAGCTCTGATAGATATAGGTAAATGCACATGTGATTCATTAACTAGATATGAAAGATGTAGACAGAAATTACAAAATAAATCGAAACAAGGACTAGACATTTGATTACTTTTATTATTTGAATTTTGTTTTCCGAAAAATAATTTTCGATTCTTTTTGAGTTAATTTCGATTCAATCACTACTCTTTGAAACTTTTTTCAATTCAATTCAATTCAGTCATACTAAATAGTTGTACTCAATTCAATTCAACTAGGTTAATGAATGGAATTGAGTTAAATTGAGTTCGTCATTTTTCGAACTAACTTGTCCATTTCTGGTTTTGGAGCTGAGCCCCATCACCCTTAAATTTCTTGTTACGCCACTAGTCAAGTGTATACACTTTGATACACTTGTCATACGAAAACAAGATGTACACATACACTTGGCTAAGAAAAATAAAATGTACATATACATTTTGTTTTAGATTTCTATTAGAAACCCTGCTCCAGGTAGTAATGTAGTTTTTTTCAAACCAACATCGCTGAAAACATTTAATACATTAAAATATAGATAAGCTTTCATTAAAAATTATCTAGTATAAGTTCATATAATTAAAATCATAAGATTCATCGTATAATTCAGGCAAATCAAGTTCAACTACCTTAATTTTTAAAAAATACTATAAATTAAATAACAAATTTGACTAATTTTACATTTAACTGAAAGCTTTTTCTTCTTTTTTCAAAGCTATGAACAACATCCAAACGAACAATCGATATATGACAGACACACTCTCTCAATGGTATAAACACTTTACACTAAAAATCTATCTCCTACAATTGATCTATTCTCTAATCAATCTTCTTAATAATCGAGTTTTTTAAATAAAAAATTTGTTTTTTGTTGTCTCATATAAAATATTTGTAAGCTTCAGTTTAATTTAAATATAACAAAAATATAGTTAATTGAATATCAAAACTCGTTTATTTTAAAAAAGCGTGGATGGGATGTAGGTAGGTTTAAAATTTGTCAATCACCCCCACCCTCAAGATAATTTCAATTCTTGTAGTAATTCAAAACTTCCCAAATGTATTTAGAATGAGCCAGAATAAGTCATTTATTGAGTTCAGCAAATAATTATGATCAATTTTTGCCACAAAAGATCTTATTTAAGAGTATAGTATAACAGTTGTTTACAATCCATATCTATTTCTTTATAATAATCAAAATTAATAAAAACTACAATAAAAAAAATAAAATAACAGAACAATAGGAGTTGAATGATTACAGTAAGATCTGTTCCAACATACACTATTTCTGTGTAATTTTAGATGTAATGTTTGGACTAACTTTGTATAATGATTGAAGAATTGATTCAAAATGTTTTCGTGCATTTGATCGTCTTGTTTTAAGTGTTACTGTAAGAAGTCCATTGTCTTGTGAAAACAATTCAGAATGGAGATAGATATTACTCAACTTTTCATAAGACTTTAGGTTATATTTTTCAGCTAATTGATTTAAATCAGATAAAATTATCTTTTTCAACTTATCATCTTTGCACCACTCGGCAAGCGTTGTAGCGTTTGTTGTTGATTTGAAATGCTTTCGGATATAATCTTCATCTGGTATAACAATAGCAACAACAGTTTCTTCAGTCGAAATACCATCAACAAATATTTGTGCAATCCATTGAGAACGAATGTATACATCTTCGAGACGTTCAGGTGCAATATATTTTCCTTGACTTAACTTAAATATATGTTTGACACGATCAATAATACGTAATGCACCATTGGTTGTCCATTCTCCTACATCACCGGTATGTAACCAACCATCTTTATCAATAGTTTCTTGTGTTTTTGCTTCATCGTTGTAGTATCCTATCAAAACAAGAAACGGCAACAAACACATTTAAAGCATCACATAAGTATACTTGATTTACCTTTAAAAACACTTGGTCCACGAAAACAAACCTCACCTTGATTGTTTTCACTTCGATAATTTGTCCCTGGTACATCAATAAGTTTTGCTTCCATTGTTGGCAATGGTGTACCAACCGTGCCATATGTCATATCAGTTGGATGAGTACTAGTACCACCACCACCTGCTTCTGTCTGTCCATATCCTTCGATAATCGGTATATCCAGTGCAATACGAAAAAAATGCATAACATCTGGTTTAAGTGGTGCTGACGATGTAATAATACCTTTTAATTCGCCACCAAATATTTTTTTCACTTTACCAAAAACGAGACGAGGTAGAAACGGTGGTTGTTCACGTAATGCTTGTTGAACAAGAAATCGTTTTATTGGACTCTTGTTAACATCAGTCATAATTCTATCATAGATTTTATTAAAAATACGTGGAACGACAGAAGCTTGAGTCGGTTTTACTATAGATAAATAATCGACGACTTTGTCAGGTGATGGACAAAATACTAGTGATGTTCCACGTTGTAGAATTTGTAAGATGACAAATCTTTCGAAAATATGAGCCATAGGTAAAAATGAACAATGTCGATTAGTTAAAGGTCTTTTCATATTAGCGTTTTCTAAGCGAATAAGATTGCCTCTTGTTGATGATAAAAAATTGTCATGTGATATCATAGCAAGTTTAGATTCTCCTAAATGGAGAATAAAACGAGTTTAATTATGAAATTATCAAGAGGAAGAGAAATGAAAATCTTACCTGTTGTTCCACTTGTTAAAGTATATGTTGCAACACTGTCTGGATCGATAGTTGGTCGTTCACATATATCTGTCTTCTTCATTGATTTTAAAATTGATGATAAAGATCGAATTTTACTATGTTCATCATACTTCTCATCATCCATAATAATTATTTCTTTAATTTGATCATTATTTAATAATTCATCTTTACATGATTGAATACGTTCTAAATTATCAACAACAAGTACATCAGTTTGTGTTCGTTTTAAGAGATTTAAAATTGCTTCAGCATTAGAAGTTGTATACAAACTAACCACAATAAAACCATACATATAACAACCTTGTTCAACAAATAAATATTCAGGTCGATTTGAAGATATAATTGCTACTTTAGATTGCATTGGTGTAAGTTTTGTTTTTCTCCATAAATATGAACCAACATATTCACTTTGTGCAATTACTTGCGAATACGAGAACCATTCGATTGATTTATTATTAGTCGATGAAGGAAGATAACCAACGCATGGTCCATCATTTGAAAGAGCACAACCTTCATGTAGAGCATCACCAATTGTTTGTACATTGGGAGACATTTTTTTATAATATGAATAAAGATCAATATCTTTGAAGAATGTACATCGACGTATACGTTCAGTAGGATTAGTTTCAACAGTTTGTTGATTTACATCTATTCCATCGTTATACATTCGTTGAATACGTTCTTTATAAGTAGATGGATTTACATAAGTAAGTGAAATGAATCGAATGAATGAAACTGTATAAAGTCCTTTCGGTTTTAAAACAGATTGTAGCATTGATGATTTTATTTGTTAATATCGTTCTTAAAAAAGTTTATCTAAAACAAAGGAAAATTAGAATCAATTTTAGACAATGTCAAGTGTTTTAGAATCAGAAAAATGATTGAACCAATTGTGAATTTGATTAATTATCATAAAAAGCAGGAATATTATCGAATCGAATTAGATTCCACTGATGGATCGTTTCTTCTGTGTACATACTTGAGTTATCGCCTTTATACGATTGAGTAATATACTAACTCAACATAAACAGATGCAGCGGAACGAAGTAACATTTACTTGTTCATAGACAAGAAATTTGTTAAATTAAAAGTGGACGAACAATGCGTTTACAATACCTCAAATAAACTCTAAAAAGTGATGTCCATATTAGCTAGTGAATTAATACAATCTAACTGATTACTCAAGATTTATATATATTCATCATAAAAAATTGGATTTGGTCAATGCTACGAAACCTACATTATAGATGAAGAGAATAACAACCTGTATGAAGATCGGGAAACGAATCATTCGAATTATGAATAACGAGGTTTCATTTCTATTATATCACAATGTGAACAACAGTCAGAATCTTATCTGATTTATTTCTATTCATTAAATTTTACACCACTACAAAATATCTTCTTTCGGTTTATCTATTTTGCAGAAAGATGTCATGAGTGTACGTATGAATGACAAACTACTACTGCTTCATGAAAACAATAAACTTTAGTTCACGTTTTCTTCATTTCGAATTTAATTGTAATCAGATATATTTGGATCGTATCTGATCTTGAGGGTGTAGACGTGGGTAATGAGTGAGAAGAATACACACTCACACCCACACCCATCCTATGTGTGATCTTTTAAACGAATAGTTTCCATGTAATAGATCGAGAATAACATTGAAAAACGTGTAATTAATGCAAGTTTTTGTTCGAGATTAGTGAATCAAAATAATAATACGCATAAGATTTATTGAAAAGAAAACATAATTACTACAGACAACATTGTTTTTTACAGAGTTTGTACTTATCAAGGAAAGAAGAACAAATTTGTTGTTTACAATTTCTAAATATATATTATAAATCAAAAATGACGAAAAGTGAAATAAATATAATCATTAAAAGCATTTTTAAAACAGTTCTTTCCGATACCCAGTGAAAAATTGTCAGATTATACCTCATTATGTAAGATTATAATCGAATTTTTGTGCAACAAAATCAGAACTATAATCGATTGGAATCTTTCAAATCAACAATAATTCGATTTTTAATCAAAAAAAATCTTCTAAATCAAATATAATTTTGATAAAAATCATGTAGTTCTGATTACAAATATAGTAAATAAAGTTTGTATGGTTTTAATCAAAATTATATTTGATTTAGAAGATTTTTTTTGATTAAAAATCGAATTATTGTTGATTTGAAAGATTCCAATCGATTATAGTTCTGATTTTGTTGCACAAAAATTCGATTATAATCTTACATAATGAGGTATAATCTGATAATTTTTCACTGGATACACGTCACAAATAATTCTATGATTTCAAACTTGTTGGTTTTGTATGTTATACTAATAGATTTAGAAATCTTTCAAATAAAAAGTATGAATAATCAAATTTATTTTGCGTGTGATAATCTTTCATATGAAGATAACAGCAGAGCAGTAAAAGTGTCGGTTCTATGGTGTAGCGGTTAGCACTTTGGACTTTGAATCCAGCGACCCCAGTTCAAATCTGGGTAGAACCTATTTCTATGTTTCTTATTTTTATTTTATTTGCATCATGTTTTGATGATAGAAAAGGTAAAATTCGAGTGATTCACGAGACTGATGTATAAGTTACTGAAGAAATCCTCTCTTACTACTTATATTTGACAGAACGTTAAATACAGAAAGATAAGCGCCGCTTTCAGCTTTTCTTTTTTCGAATACAAACTCATGACGGAAGCAATTTATAAAATAATTCAAAATTTCTCTATATTTTATAAAAAAGTCAACATCTAGAAGTTTCGTACTAGTGTGGCTTACGTGAACTTACTTATAAGGAACCATAGACGTCACTCATAAAAATCTGATCACACTAACTCTCACTGCGAGAAGGAGACGGCAGAAGCAGCTTTTTTCATGTTATTTTGCTATTATTTTGTGTTTGCAGGCAAGTACATCAAATCGGACATAATATCTTTCATATATATCTATGTTTCGATTCTTGGAGTCATTCTGGTGATGTCTTCTATAATGGCATATTACATTCACAATCATATTCAAGTCAGAACGATAGCTAACACCTATCGCATCAATCAGTGCAGAGTTCTAGCAACACCAGTGGGTCTAGAAACTTGTTTGAAAAAAAGTGGGAAATGGTGTAAGTAGTTTGAATTTTCAAAGATATTTATATTTATTTCTACATCGAAACTTTTTATATAATATCGATTTAAAATAAATGAAAAAAATATTCGTGTTCCTAGATACATGGTTTAAATGCTACGAAGAAGTTGTCACTGTCGAGTACAATATATCATCAGCAAGTGTTCAGTAAGAAATTGCTTACAGACAAGAATCTGAGGTCGAAAAATTAATACCGACGCCTGTATGTTTCGAAAACACGATCAAGTGATGATTTTCAATGTGTCTGTGGATTAAATTTTTTGTTTCTAGATCGGCACAAGTTTACCCTACTTTTTCCATCCATTTATGAATAGCTCCTTTAAATGGGAAAAGCCAATAGCGGCAATGGAACTCAATAAGATGATTAGTGCCGTTATTATCTCAGGACTAGTTGTCACTATCTTAATCGGAACGCTTACAGTCATAGCCTGCTCACAATACGAAGTGTATAAAGAATGCCCAACACAAGAAACAAGGTCACGTAGAACGTATTCTACGGTTGACATACATCTAAATTCGAACATTTTACTTAAACATTTTTCTACATAGTGTTTGTTTTAATTAATAAACATTTGTCAGTATCACACTTGTTCGTTTGATGGTAAAGACGAAGATGTTAGGTTTTTTTCTTTTTACTTTCTTGCTGATATTGTCATTTTTATAATAAAAAAAAAGGACATCTGCAAGACCTGCAGACCATGTAGCACTCTCGCACGCGTTATTGTGTAAAGAAAATCAAAACGACGCCATTTTCTTGTCTCTGTATTCTAGCAAAAAAAAACGTTAGCGCATATTCTTTTAAATGTTTTTTTTTGTCGACAGCAATTGCAAGAAACATATGTTAAGAGTGTGGGTGTTAGTGTAGGATTAATATAATACCCACACCCACCCTCTAATAAAGATATTAAATAAATCCATTAAACGAAATTTCTCTTCGAAAAACTTACAGAAATCAGTATAAATTCTGGCTTGATCCTAATAAAATTGTTTTTATTTGTCTATTCATTTATAGAGTTTTCTTTTAAACTAATATTTTTTCATGAAATTTAGTTCGAAACACGATCTTCTTGGATTTCAGAGTGCAGAAAAAGTAGCAGTTATTTTCATGAAAAAACATTTGTTGGCTTCCGTGTCTATCTATCTTTCGAGCGCATCGCTCTTCCTTGTTGTTGAGTATCTGTGTTCACATTAAAGATTTTTGAGTCATTCGAAAAAATCAGAAATATTATGTTCAAATTACGTGTCCCAAATCAATAGATTCGATAAACAAAGAATGAACCAAAATATTTAGTCATTATACAATGATTATATCGTTGTAGTTCTTGATATTCGTTCAACTATAGAATGTTTCTTTCTTCGGCTTCTAGTTTTTCTCACGGGATTCGAGAACAGTCTTTTCATAAATGTTCGTGGACGATCGACACGAGTAACATCTGCGAATGACTTATCAGTGACGTTAGAGATACCTTCTTTCGATCCTCCACTAATCAATGATGAGCCATTAGTCTTAACTTGTACAGAACGAATTTTCACTAAAGACGGTCGATAAACAGACGCTACGTGTTTCACGCGCACACTACCGTTCTCACTTTTTGGCATAAACGATGCTTGTACCGTATTATCCACATTGTCGAGTCGAATAGTGTTCTCAGTCATCGACAGACGATGTTTCGAATTAGAAACAGGATATATCATTATCAAACGAAAAGGTACACATGTAACTCGAACAACATTTACTGTTTCACTGTTTATTCGTCCTAGACGTTTTTTTTCGACAGACGTCTTTGTCATGTACGGTTCTAATTTCATCTTGCTATTAATATTGCATCTTCCCTGTTTCGTAAACGACGTGATGCGCGTAACGGCTACATGGCCTACAATTTTCGGTTTAATACAGAACAGATTACTGTCTTTCTCTGGCATTCGACCGAGTGACTTGATGCTTGGATTTAATTCATTTTGTCTTTTTGCGTTTGGTTTTATTTCTGAAACTGATATACCGGTGTTGGATTTATGTTGAACGCAATCATTACTTATCGGCAAAAAACTAGTGCATCGCATGTCCTTTAGCCGGAGTTCGTCATAGAATTCGTTCTGATTGGATGATGCATTAATAATCAGCGGCGATGATCTAGTTTCATTATTTTCAAAGCTACTTGTACACTCACTCACAATATCATAAATATGATAGTTCCTACATGGTTTTGATAGTAAAGTTGTTGACATATTTGCCCAACGACAGTTTGGATCAGTGCACCGCTCGATATAATAATATTCAAATGATTTAAATGTTTGATCACACTTATCTTTTAGTCGACGTTTAGGTGAACTAGAACAACAATAAGATAATAAGATGACAATTAAAATCTATGAGTAGACCGATAAAAGTGCCACAATAGGCAGAAAGCTAAAATGAATGCTGTAAGAAAAGCTAGAGCTGCAAGGCTTCCGATCAGTAACCAATTGATGGGATCGACTAATAAGAAATATGATAAACTTTCACGATTTTAAGCATGAATGATGACAAACCTTTTCGTGACATACTTGTTGTAATTGTGATTGCTGTTGAAATTGAAACTAGTCTATATAATAGAGAAAGGATTTTATAGAGTAATTCGAATTATAGTGTTGCCGGTCCATGAGCAACATAGACAGGCAATTTTGTCCGTAGGAAGAAGCGAGAAGATTCTTCGGCAAAAAACATTTTAGATATTCATTGAAAAGTACTCTGAAATTAAGTATTTTATCATTTCCCTCTTTCATCTGACTTTAACCGGACCAAAACAGGCGATATTTGATGGAAGTGACTTATAGTGTCCTTCCGTCCGAAAGCAATCGAGAGCTTCATTTAAGAATAGATATGCCTTATGTTTAAATATTTGATATAGATGATGTCGTAAACTTAAAAAGAAGTTTATTTAGTTGATCGAACTGTAAGAAAGAAAAAATAAATGGAATTTTTTAGGTGATTATCGCTGTATTGCCTTGCCTACTTTCGTCAAATGTTTTGATTATCGAAATTTCGAAACTACAATGATTTTGAGAAGAACAGTGTTATATGTGACGAATAAAATCGCATGAATACCAGGAGAAGAATAGAGTCATAGAACAAAAACTGAGAGCGATAATTATCCTTTTTTGAAGACATTCGTAGTCTACAATTTGACCTGCTTTTACATACTTGTCGTAGTCTTTGATTTTGAATCTATTTAAAATGTAAAATTTTTTATTTTTACCGCTTTGCTATACGATCCTTTTGCATTTTTAAAAATAAAACTATATGTTCAAGTTTAGTAAGGAGGAGAGTAGTGAAAGCATGTTATACTACTTGAAGGATAAGCTGAATACGTTCCGTTATGATATTTGTTATCACTTGACAAGTTTTCGATTACTTACAGTGTTAATGTAACGCTTGTCGTAGAACTATAGTTAAGAATAAAATGCATCATACATTTTATAGAGAAAAGTCGCATACTATGTTGTGTATGTTGTTTCTGTTGTTGTCGTCGTTGATGTTGTTATTGCAGTGGTACTAGTAAAGAAAAGATAGATTAATTTTGAAATAAACATTATTTACGTTGTGCTTGTTGATATATAAACATCACTAGGGCAATCGTTGACGCCATCTTTTGATACATAGAATGTGAAGCAATATTGTGTCGACTGAAAACTTTGACTGGTTAAGAAAAAGCAATATGTTTATTATGATTGTTGTCATCATTTTTCTAGTAGATATACCTGTTAATAGCCATTGCACACATAACTTGATAGCCGAGCTGATTTAAAGTCGGAATCCATGTAAGATTCTTGTAGTAGATGGTTGCATTCAATTTTGTAATTGCACTTTTGGTCATACCCGAAAAAGACAGCGTCGCAATATCCTGAATTGTTATATTTGCTCCACAATAGTTAATTGCAATCAACTGTGAATTAAATATTTCACCGACTTTAACTGGTATGCACGATTGTTCAGCAGGTAGTCCGATTATATCAGGTGGAATTGAGCAAGAAGGTGGAGTAACTACTTGCACAAGAAATTGAACGGGTACAGAACTTAGTGGAAAAGTGCTCGAAGAATTAATAAAATCTTCAACCTAATGTAAAAAGATAGTGAAACAATTTTCGTTTAAATACAAACAAACTAACCACGAGGGCCACAGCGAACCAATCGCCAATATTCTGACCCGTTATCACGATCGTACAATTGGGATAAATGCTTGTGTTTGGTGGAAGTGAACTGGGTGGACACACACCGCCGCACTCGTTAGAACCATTAGCCCATCGACATTTTGTCGTATCTCCATCGGCATCACCTACTGGTACAGAGATAACTGATGTTTGATTATTAGGAATATTAATTGGAGACATGACGGTGGCTACTGGAGCAGTGTTATACAAGCCATTGTCAGATCGTGGTTGTATAGCTATACGTGAAGCAAGAGACCAAATATTTGAAGAACTAGCTGTTAGCACACGCCAACCAGTATCTTGAAACGCAGCAGTAAAATCATCGTTTTCCTGTAAATAAACAATATCTGAGCGTTGACCAACAACAGTACCTTGTTTAGAGGATGCATCCGTGCAGAATGGAATTATTGGTGGAGCTATATAACCAACTGAACCAGAACCACAGTTGATAATGCAATCAAGTGTATTATTGATGCCATTGTATGAAAGGTCTGTCGATATTAGTTCGCTATTTGCAATTTGTGTAGAATTACATTTGACATACGACGTAGACCACGAATATGTTTGGGTTATAACAATAGCAACAGGTGTGCCACTAGCCGACTTATTCAGTGGTTGCCATGTAATAGTACCACCAAGAAAATGATTGCCGTTGATGAATATAATTAAATTAAAGAGTAACCAAAGAAAAAAACAAATGTGAAACATTGTTACTTCTTGCTAATAATCTACTCTAAAAAAATAAAGTACTGTTGCGAATAGAAATTCAATAATGAAAGAATGCTATACGTATTTCTTTTGTACTGAAAAGACATCATGAAAATAATACTCGAAATGCATGAAAAGGATCTTACTTCTTTTCTATTAGAGAAAAAGAAATTGCATGAATTTCTAGATCTTCATTGATTACAAGTATGTTTTTGTATTATTATGTTTTCTTCTCGGCAGAATATGTAAATTTCTATAGAGAAAGTATAATTACCAAAGTAGTATGCCAGAGAAGTCGTGTGTGTATCGATATGGGTGTGGATGTCTTTTCTTTTAATCCACGACCATACTCATGCGGACATCCTATAACTTTTGTTAGTGTCAAAAGATATCACGTAATAACACTAATTTTTCCATCCATTCTGCATGACTTTTATGAGACTCTTTAATTTCTTTCCTTTTTTATTTGCTTTTGTCAATTATGGTTTTCTTTTCATCTATTGTTGACATCTGTATGTTTCCTTTTCTTAACAACAGTATTGATTAATTTTATTAAAACATAACGACAACTATATAGGATAGGCAGTATTTCACGTGAACTCTTGTTCTTTTGAATTGCACATAAAAACCGTACTCACCACGATCATATAAACCTTTAGCCTGCATAAGACATGAAAGTTAGAAGTACAGTTCAAGCTTTGTCGAGAATCTGTCAATCTCTCATTTTGATCAGACAATCATATCTAATCAATTCTACTCTCAATTCCATAACATTGAGTCGAAAATTGTTTTTCGTTCTCCCTAATAACCGTCGTGTCCTTTAGTAATCTTGAGGGTGTGGATGTGAATATAAGATTGATCTCATCAAGTGCACTCACCTACACTCCATCAGTATTACGATTTTATCAAAAACGATCGACTGAATTACGAAGTAAGTCATCTATATCGGTGGAAGATATCAACCTCAGTGACATAACGAAAAAAGTGACTATTATTTCTTGCATTTCTGATTAAATTGATGATGCGGGTGCGATGTCTTCTTTGGATTCTCATACCGATGTCCACCTCTCAATAATATGGATAAAAATTCGACTGTTTATTACATTACCAATCTATTCTGATTAATTCTATACTAATAAAATTTGTCTAAAAATTCGTTGTTTAGAACTGCGTATAAGTTTTTTTTCTACCAGATGGCGGTGCGTATGAGTGCAAAAAAATCTTCATCTTCGATTTACGGTATCCTATCAACTTTCGTAATGACCATTTTTTGTAGACTTCATGTTAGCATTAAATGTTATTACTCAACACACCTATGGTTTTTTTCTGATGTAACTCGTTATTATTTGCTTTCTTGACTCATCGTATGTATTTCATTAGTAATTGCGTAAGAATTATGATATACCGTTGTATATATATATATATATAGCCGAATTCGAAGGTTTCAAACAGTGAATATTTCTTTATTATAGTATATGACAGATGATTTTTTAAATAATTTTCGTTCAATCGATCCATTTACCAATGCAAGTGCACAAAGTGCATTAAATATTGGTAATGGTGAGAAAATGGATCAACACAGTTCTAATGTAGTTCATATTCGTATTCAACAACGAAATCGTGGCAAGAGTGTGACTACTATTCAAGGTATTGATGAAAAATTTGATAAAAACAAACTTTTACAAGAATTCGCAAGGAAATTTGCATGTGGTGGTAATATTGTTAAACATAAAGAATATGGCGAAGTTATTCAATTACAAGGTGATAAAAGAAATGGTGTCAATCAATTTCTTATTGATAATAAAATGTATTCAGATGGACAGATTAAAGTTCACGGTTTTTAAATATCAACTATTTCTTATAAACATTTATTCATGAAAAAATTAAATAAACATTCTTCATATACTTATATGTATGCATTCAATTGTTTTTCTTGAAGATGTGTGTGTGAGTATCAAGAACTGATTAAATACCCACATTCTCAAGATGATTTTATTTTACTATTATTCTGTTTACATAAGATACTGACACACTTCAATTTGAATATTTTTATTTACTACCCAATTATTTAGTCAAGTATAAACTTCATTCATAGAGATATTGATACAAATTTGACATCCGAGCGAATGTTTCTATTGTATAGGCAGCTGCTTTCACCATTGTTTCAAAAGCAAATGGATTAGTATTTTCGATTGTATCACATGTCTCATGATAACATGGATCAAAACTTGCTTTGGCAATACCACCGTATCCATGTCCTAACATTCTATCATAACGATCTCGTTGTTCAAGTGTTTTATGTCCATCTGCACCTGTAAATAACCCACCACTTGGAATACCTGAAACTAAAAATGGAACATGATCACTAAGGAGACCAAGAGAACTATTATCCCATGGTAAATTTTCTTGATCAAACCAATTACGAAATATTTGTGCGATTCTTTCTGAACCATTTATTACTTTTGATGATACAATATCTGGTAATCCATTACCTTGATGAATACCAAAATAATAGTTGGGTGAAGCGAGCATATCGAAATTCAACATCATTAAATAATCTTTTAAACGATTACCTTCAACAGTTGTAATGTTAGCTTGTTCAACATGATGAAATGATCCATACATGTTTCTTTCTTCTGCACCCCACCAACAGAATCGAATTCGATACATATATTTTTCATAGAATGATGTTTGCAATAGATTAGCCATATTGAGAGCTAATACCAAAGTAGCCATTGCACCACTACCTATACAGAATCAAAAGATTTATTTAAAAAAATAATATAAATATATACAATAAATCATATAATATACCATTATCATTGATTCCTGAACCGTTTTCAATACTATCGCTATGACTACCAATTACTATTGTTTGGGTCCTATTTCCAGTTGGTATATCAGCACATAGATTCTCCGATGAAATATTAACTCTTAGCGTATTTCCAGGAATCATAAACATTCGAACATGTGGATTAGTAGATACATGATTTTGTACTGCTTCACTTAGTTGTGAACCTACTTCATAGGAAACAGCCATAGCTATATAAGTTATATTTTCTGCAGCAAAAACAATCGGTAGACGCGTTGTATTAGTATTATTATATAGGAGAAGACCATTAATATTGTATTTTTGTGCTACAATACTCTTTTGTTCCACAGAACAGTTTTGATCATGCACGACAATTGCAATGCTACCATTGGCTGAATATGGTGTGGCACGTTGCCAATCTTCATCTTGACAACCAGAATTTGGTATGATCGTCAGACGGATAGGTGTTAGAAAGTCGGCAGGTGCTGATGAAAAAATCATACGAAAATCTGTTTCGTATATGTAATTTTTGTCAACACCAGCAATTGTAGAAGTAAGAACAGGCTCACGCCGTATACTCACAGGTACTGCAAATTCTTCTTTAAATATGTGAAAATTAGTTTTTGATTTCAATTGTGTTTCAATATAATCAACAGTCGCTTTAAAACCCGATGTTCCGAGTGCACGTGTTCGTCCATTATTATCTGCAATTTCTTGTAATTTTTTTAAATGAAACATCAGTTGAGTGGAATTAATCGTATCCCATAAATGTTTTACCACTGCTGATGTTGATGTAGTTGTAATGATATTCATATTATCATTATATTTTTTATGACTGATTATACCTAATATAACAGCTACGAGAACAAATATTATTATGGAGATTGCAATCAAAATAAGAAGTAGTATTGTATGTAAATGATTTTTCATCGCAAAATTATCCTTTCTTCTTTGAACTACGGTATCCATGTTTAAAAAAAATGAAAGGACTCCAAATTATTCGTATAAGAAATGTAATTTTATATGCTCTGATGTACCTCTTTTATATCGTATTCTTTTCTATGTTATCGTTATGTTGATATAACATCGCTGTTTTTTGTTTTTATTTGTCGCGATAACGTACGCTGTCAAAATTATTCATAAAGGTATACAATAAGATGATTAATAAGTGTCATTTTACAAATATATTCTTCAAATTATTTTTACTTTTAATATTTAATAAGATTTGTTAGTGAATCAAGATTGCAAATGGCTGTGCGCGTTCATACAAATATATTCCACCAATCATATTTGCAAATATTGACAGAATTAGTGGTATTAATAAAATTTGTAATGCAATATCTTTATATCGCTGATATCGATACTTGCGTCAATATTTTTCCCTCTTTTATATTAAAAATCTTTTATTTATTACTATTGACTTTTCTTATTAATATGAGTGTATTCTCTCCGTTGTGATTTATCTACTTTGTATGATAATATAGACACATTTTAATATTCCACTGATGATACTCATAAGTTAAAATTAAAATCAAATAGCTCATCATGATTGTAACGATTTCTAGACTGTCGATATTGGGACCGAGTTCGGGAAAAAAATAGGGATCGGGGCAGCCCCGCCACACTCTACTACAGGATTAAGATTTCTGTATTATAAGAAATGATCGAGTCAAGTTTCAAGGAGAAATATTTACAGAAATTAATCCCTCGATATACTGAAGAGGTGTGATTACCTTTTATTTCAAGGAATAAAATATATTTGCATAAAGCTTTGGAATAAATGGCGTGCTAATAAAATGATGAAAACAACGATTACTGCTTATAAATCTACTTCCTTTTTTTTGCTGTTTTTTGCCTTTCATAAATGGAACGTACGACCTTTTCACCACCTATATATGTAGCTTGTTTGTCACATTAGTTTTACGAGTATTCACGATAAATCGTTTGATCGAATATATACAATGTATTTCGTAGTCATTTTGTTACTACTTTCCTCAACTTCATCGATCACTGGACATGCCAGAATCAAACATCCTAGACCTCTGGCAGCTCCTCCTGACACTCCAGAAGGTTTCTATTATAATTACCCTCTTCGGATTGACGGAAGCGATTTTCCATGCAAGGGTCTCCATAAGAAAGCTGGGGTAAACATGGCACCTACTGAGACCTGGCAAGCGGGTGGAGAGGCACGTTTTGAGTAAGTTTTGGCTTTATAATTTATTATTGAGAGAATATTTTGAACAAACTGTATCATTCAGGATCCTTGGTCATATGTCCTATGGAACGGAAACTCTGGCCGCTCATAGTGGAGGAGGTTGTCAGGCTTCCCTCTCTTTTGACAACGGTGAAACCTGGAAGGTTTTGCATACTTACCAGGGAGGATGTCCTAGAGATGTTCCTCTTTATAGCAATTTTGCAGGCGAGAACCAAACTTTCACTTTCCATGTGCCACAAGAGACTAGGGCCGGCAAGGCTTTATTTTCCTGGTAAGTTCTCTATGCAATCATGATATTAGTACTATAGAGTCTGATATTTTGATTGTCTAGGTCATGGATCGCTGCCAGCGGTAGTCATAACCAATATTACCAAAGTATGTAGTGGAAGATATTTATTGTAATATGATACTGATGTGAAATAATTCTACTATAGACTGTGCCTCAGTAATGATTGAAGGCTCTGGAAACAGCACGCTCGACCATTTGCCTGATATGTTCGTTGGTGACATAAATATCCTAGGTCATATTGGAGACGGTGAATGCCGCAAGACTTCAAATCATGCTCTCGAGTATCCAAATCCAGGACAGGCTATCACCATCACTGAAGTTCAGAACATCTCGTTTAAAAGGCCTACACCCGGCAACTGCTATTCAAAGGCTTCCAAAACCACTTTTACCACACCAACTTCTCTTGTTTCGACATATTCTACTGTCACTCCTGCAAGTAACTATTCACTTCCAATGACACTGAAGGTGGATCTCCAAGGTACTATGTATTCTTGCAGTTGTTCGTGTATGAAACAACCATAATGTCGTCGACGATTTCATCTCTTCCCTTCCAAGTAAACTTATCAGTTTTCACAAGTTTTCTATTCTGTTCTATTCTATTGTTTCGCAAACAAACCTCAGTCATCCGATCAGTCCATGCAACGGAAAAGTTTTTGTTAAGCTTATTATTCTTTTTTATCAAACAGTTAGAAACTGCAACTATGCTTTGAATAATTATATAATAAAAATGATGAAAGTCAAAATCGTTCTTTGCTTCTATATTGAAGATAAACTTTGAACAAGTGCCTTTAATTTGGTTGGAAGATGTAATTTGAAATATTTATTTCGAAGAACCTGCCCAAATGATTATTCTTATTGAATAACGAGAATAAGTACAACAATAAGCATTTTAGACAGAATATCTATTCAATAAATTTGTGCATAGCTTATGCAGAATACACATCGCTTTAGGCACGATACCATATTGAGGGTGCTGATGTGGGTGTGGGTGTGGGTGATGGTGAGGATGGGGTGGGTGAGGGTAAAGTTAAAAAGATGGATACAGTGCATTACTCTTCTTGAGGGTGAGGGCGAAGATACATACACAAGGCGTCTCTCATAATGAGGGTGTGGATGAAGACACATACAATCTATCTTTCTGAATGATGATGAGGGCAGAGCTACGCACACGAGGCGTGTTTCGCAGTGTGGGTGAGGGCGAAATCAGACACAAGCTTTCTGTTTTAGTGATTGGCGAGTGTGTAGTCACATATATCAGATGGGTCCTAGGTTTAAAAAAAAGACAAAAATACATTGGGTTTGGAGAAGTGCCGGGAAATGCGTCATTCGATCAGGAGAAGTCATATCTTTCCAGGAGAAGTGATAGATCTCGTACGTCTTGGAGATATAAAGTTTGAAATTTCATATAACAATGGTAGTTGCGTAGCCCATTAAGTGATACTTCTGTACACCCTGCATCTTCTGTATCCCGGATTCTTTGGATATGTGACACCTCCCTTATAAGAAAATGGCATATCATAAGAAAATGCCACATCATATAGAAAAATGCCACTCTCTACATGTAATGCCATTCTTCAGTTAAAGGATAAATCGATCAAAGACATTTGATCAAAGTGCAAACGGTGAAAGAGAAAAGGGAATATGCCACCATCCAGATCGATAGAATGATCGAGAAAAGAAAAAAGCACTTTCTTTTTATTTTATATTCTAGGCTTCAGACTCAGCTGAATCAATTTAGAATTGAAAACTACGATTATAAAAAATTCAATTTTGTACAGATAACTTGCAAAATTTTATCTCGCTTCTGTACTGCTGGGAACCGTAGACGCAAACTATCATATCTGCATATCTTTCAAAACCATTCAGTTGAACCAAAAACAGCTATATTTATTCACATCCATTCATCATTGTAACACGATGCAGATAAAGTAAAGTCTAGCTTGCAAAAAGATCAATATGTTAATCATATAGATTCCTTTGCGTTTTTTTATATATCTTCCTCTGTGTTTTTTTACGACTGCAAATTTATTATACCAATAAATGTATTCATACTTTTTCTAGTATTACATATAAGTTAAGTATTTATTCTATCATTTGTGTTCTTATATAAACTATACTAAACTTCTAGAATCTGTTCGTTGTCAGGCATACAATATAATGCATACGATCACATTGGTAACAATATTCGGTTTCATTTTAATAGTTTCAGGATCTGGTTCAATGAACTGGTTCAAATTCACTGCATGTGCCGGAACGGATCTTTTTACATGTCCTGGCGGAATGTTAAAGGCTCAATTCAATCAAATGACAAAAGCAAATTGTCTTAATTGTGACAAATTCTTCCATTGTCAAAGAAATTATGATGCTGTCTATCGTTGTGGAAATTCTGCTAAGAATCAACGTATTGCAGAAAAAAGTAAATCATAATCTTAAATATAATCAGTTAAGATTTTATGTTTTTACTGCTTTATTTCAGTCAGCAACTGTCGTGAACAAGCTCAAGATGATGGTTCGGAAGATAGTCAAGCAGATCAGCAAGCAAATAAATTTGGACGAGATGGAGGAAACTGTAGAGCACAATATACATGCAAAGTTAAATGTAAATACAATCCTCAAAATAAAACTTGTCGAAAATCAAATTGTCCATAGTAGATCATTGGCTTATTTTATTATTTTTAATTTTAACTATCGAATAAATTATAATAATCCAACAAGTTTATTCATATGAGCATAAAGTCTAATGTTTATGTTTTCAATGCAAATTTTTGATTCAGAAATAAATATCTCGATTCAATATGTATTTCTTTTTGTTATCGGCATTGTATGTGGGTGGGTGAGGACGGGTGTTATATTTGTCTCATGCACACAATCACACGACCCATCCGCACCCGTTGATTGATCAGCTAGTTAGCTTTTATCTCGTTTACTTTATATGTTTTTCGTCAATTACTGCGCATATATGAACGACAGAAAATAATTTTAGGCGTGTTTTCGACAATTTGAAGCAACTTTTTTCAATAAATATATATGAGGAGTATATCGGTGTTTATTTGAATAAAATAGAAATAAAAAAGCGATACATTTTTCGAAACACTTAAGCATAATACTGGCATAGAACATGAAATATTGTGAGTTAAAAGATAAAAGTATAACAAGATGATAGCTTATCTTTGAGAAAAATTGAGTATTTTAAATTTTTCGTAGAAAGAGATGATCGTGTTTTACGTGCCATATAACCAGCTATAGAAAATAAACTTTCGCTGGAAACCGATGTACTAGGTATTGTACCATATTGAAGTACCATTTTACTTAACTTTGGTAATGAACTCGCACATTTTTGCGAAAAAGTTGTGAAAGTAGAAACATCTTTCTTGTAAATTTCATAATTTGCAAATTCCTGTTTTAATGTTGAATCATCAATAGTACCACATATATTCCGAAATAATTTCAGTCGTTCTACAGCAGTGAATACATTGACGGCTGGGAAAGCAACACATTGCATACTTGAATCGGAAATAAACAAAGATGAAATATTTGTATTTGAATTTATATCAGAAGAAATGTTTTTACTTAATTCGAGATTGAGTAATTGTGGATTGAAAGTAAAGATAATCACAGCCATATCTCAAGATGATCAAATAATGTACCAACTATTACTTGTGTTTCATTAGCGAACATTGGAGATTGTGAATGCCATAATCTTATTGATCAAACAAATAAAACAAAATGACCAAGTAGTTCAATATTTATAAAATCCAAAGATAAAGGAGGAAATCCGTGGAATTGGATATTTCATAATTCTACTGCTTTTATAAAACAAAATTCTTTGAATGGTTTCATCTTTCAATTGAAGAAATGGGGGGAAAAAGATTGAAATCTTAATTTGTTAGCGAATCGTTCCCGATATAATGGTTTCAGTTGTTTATATATTTCACTTAGAACAGTTTTTGCATGTCTTAATAATATAATATGTCGATAATCAATTAATATTGAATGCGGTAATAGTACATCAAGTATATTTTGTAGAATCGAGATTCCTGCAATGAAAACATTGTATCATTTAAATAGGAAAGTTGAGTTCTTTTTCTAAAGAAATCTACTTCAAATATTTTCAATATTTCTCAATTTTAGAAACATCTCAAAAGACTGTTACATTTCTAATTTAATAGGACTAAATCCACAGAAATAATTTGTCATTACGTATAAAATTGTTAAATTTTTTAACCAAGAATGTATTTCTTTATTTAAATATCTTTACAAACTCATGATATTTATGCAACTATTTTTAAAATATCTAGTGAAAAATACTCATTACAATATACTAAAAAGAGTACTATCAGTAACTGACCTTTATGTCCACAAACAGTTTCTTTCATTGTTTCAGCTTATTCTGATGGTTTGTAATATTTCTCGGTATCACGAAGGAATAATTTTTTTCCGATATTAACACCACATATGTAACAAAAATAGTAACAGTAGTAACCATCATCTTAAGGGTGTGGGTGTGGAGTGAGAAAAAAAATTGTATTCAGATCTACACCCACCCACATCCTTATTTTAAGAAGATATCCAGTTATTAATAAGAAATACGGTCAGCATTAGCTCAAAAAAGTCAGTTTTTGCTACTAATTAGTATTGTGAGCTTCATAAGGACTATCAAATAGAATATGAAGTAGGGTGGATTGTTACTTCTACAGTATAGTAGTCGGAAGCATGTGTCATGAATGTTCTGATTATGAGGATCCGACAGTTGAGCCCCCGATACAGAGAAATAATAGAAAGCAGAGAAAATTCGTTTGTGATTTATTATATGAATTTTAAAGTGAAACACACAGATATGCTAAATCTTTTCATGGTACTAATGGCCAGCTAGGATGACCTTCGTTGGTTTAATCAGCCATCTTTAATAAAACAAATAACTTTTCGAAATATATTTCGTTTATTTATGTAATCGACATAATTGCTTGTGTACTTATCTGTTATTATCACAAAATATCAGTTGTAAAATCCTCTAGAACACCCACACCTTCCCTAGCATCTGCTTTTCATTCGATTATAAGAGAAATGTATTTTAAAAGAGCACGCACTCTGTTTGATTTCTGATTTTAATGTTATTCTATTGAAGTAAAATTATTTTCTTGTGCTCTCTAATTTCTTCTCTATATCTGGGGCTCAACTGTCGACGTACCGTCCTATTAACAGCTAAAGATAATATATGGAAACGTCTATAAGCAATGTAAAACAAAGCATTAAAAGCAATAATAGTATTCCTAATATATATATCAACGAAGTATATCTACATTATTAGTAAGATACAAGAAACAAAAATATACTCAACAACACTACTTGAACAATCAGTTACACGTGCTAGAATCTGTAGCGATAAAATAACTGAAAATAATTTACTAAAGCTTTAACTACATACTAAACGAAGCGATATGTAAGCCAAATTTCTCTTCTTACGGCATAAGACTGATGTTAAGAGTCCTTAATATCTCTTCCGTTTTCTTCTATTCTTTTCTGATAATCTTCCTCTGATAAAAATTTATTTAATTACTAAATAAATAAATCGTTAAAATCAAGAAAAAGAAGATTAATGCATCTGACAAACAGAATGGATTGTCAAATAGAATTTTAACATACTTTAATTTGATTTTAGTAAAAGAGAGAAATAGAATCGAATGCAATATTTGTAGAGTATTGCCTTAGATTTCTTATCTTACCACGAGGAGCTATGATTATGTAAGCTTTATGTTAGTCATAAAAATGATGACATTGTATGTAAAACATGCATCATGCTTGATGAAATAGTCGTAGAACATGAAAATGTGTTATTACGCAATCAAGAAACAGAACACATATAAATACTGTTTGCTCACATTATTAAGTATAAAAACCAGTTGATCGATATTGTAATAAACTTGTAAAGTACATCACTGATGCAACTAATCGAAAATTTATTATCTGTTAATGAAGCTGCGTCAGCATTGAATTGTTTAAGGCCGGAAACAGATGAAATTCAATACGGACAATATTACGCCATAGGAGATAATCAGTCACTTATTCGTCTTCCACGATTAATGGCATTTCAAGCAAGTACGAACTCATGTGGAGATCAACCATGGTATCGATGTAAAATTGCACTTGTTCCTCAAAATAATATCGTTTATACATCATGGACACCAACTGTACAGAAACTCAAAAGAGTCATCGAAGAAATGTCAGGAGAAACTTGGAATTTAGCTCACATTATTTATTATAAAGATGGACAAGAAAGTATGGGTCTACATAGTGATTGTATGTTAGATTTAGCATCTGGCTCAAAAATTGCAGTTGTAAGTCTTGGAGTCAACAGACAAATGGATTTGGTCAAAAAGCAAGAAAGTACATTAGATGGACCATCACAACTACAAATAAATCTTCCAGGTAATTCTCTATTCTTACTCGATGAAGAAACGAACAGACATTATGTACACGGTATTAAAAAAGAAAAAAGTCAAATTGGAGAAAGAATATCAATTGTATTTCGACATGTACTTACGTATAAGACTCAGAATGGGAAATTATATGGAAATGGATTAACATATTCAACTAAACAAGATATAATTCAAGGAGAAACAAGACGAAAAATGTATAAATTTGCATTCACATTCTTCCTTGCACTTTGTTTAAATTGGATGTTTCCTTTCTTCTCTACTAATATGTTTAAATTAATTAGTGGCGGAATCTATTGGCTTAGTATTAGTCTTGTTATAGAACTAGTCCAACAAATCATTGGTAATTACATAGAAAAGAATAAAAACAAGCGACTTCAGAAATTATGTAAATTAAAGAACTTCAAAACATGGGATCAGAATCGAATGCGAGACTTTTTAAAGTATAATAATTCATGATACTATATTCTGATGTGAATTTTTAATATTTTTTTCTTATCAATAAAATCTTTTTTTTGCTCCATAATTAAATCTAATACTTAGGGGTGAGGGTAGATGTAGGTGTCCTCCTTTACTTATACCCACACAGGGTCTTAATATTTTTATCCATATTTATACCTCTTGATAACCAGTAATAGGTTTTTCAACGTTTTTTTACTTCATTTATTTTTCAATAATATACAATTCACTATGGTTGTAATCTTCCTGCTTCGAAAATTTTATAAAATCATCGAACAAAAATCGATAGTATTATAACAAACATGTTTTTTAACTACCAAGAATGACTGTTGTTCTCTTTCTTCCGATATTTTTTGCGTAAAATAAATGATGCAACATGCTTGCAATGCTGTTATTCTTTTACTTCCTAGATATTTCACGGCTCTTATTGTTAAAGAAGTTGGAAGAAAAACAAACATGTGCAGATTTTTTCCTTTTAAATGAAGTCTTCTCGCTATTCTTTTTACTTTTTTGAGAGAAGAACTCTACATCACTTCTATTATTCAGCAATAAATCTAAATAAGTAAGTATATATAGTCCATGTAGGGAATAAGTATTGTTGTCCATTCGGTTCTAAAACTCACGATCACCAAAATTTATCAAAATTATAAAACCACGCACATTTGATCTGATAATATCATTTAGCAATAAATCTTTCTGTTAGGGACACTGTTGTTGTAGATAACCTTTGTCTGCGTGATATTTTAAGAAACAAAAAAGTTCTACATTTATTATTATTTCAGCTTCGAAGGCAAACTGCGTAGCAATTTTTCAGCACTGAACATATTTCAGAAAAACGATATGACTTTTGATTACTAAGTAACACTAATCAAACAGACTTTTTAATTTGAAACAGTTTTCTTATAGAAAGAAAGTTGTTTTTCTCAGAGTTGAAAAGAGTAAAATATTAATTCTTGAGAGTAGTAACACAGTTATACGATAGCTTTTCGATAATGGTTTTTAACGAATCCGAAAATAAGAAAAATATATAATACCTAACTAATAAAAACCACCTACTGTTTTTAGATTTGATTGAACAATGACAACAACGCTTGTCTGTACAGCTTGTCATAAAAATAACACGTGGAACGATAATAAATACAAACAAGGCCTCTTTTTCAATTGCGTTTCCTGCTCCATTCGATTGCAACAAATATTTTGTCCACATTGCTCTTCCAGCAACACCTGGTCAAATCCATCAGTATCAGTTGAAGGGCAACTCGTTAAATGTGCATCATGCGCTAAGTCGTTTCAATTTGTATGTTGTCCGCATTGTCAGGGAGTAAACATGTGGGCTGCTGGAAACTATAAGGAAGGTCTTAAGAACAAGTGTGTTTCATGCACTCAACCTTTTCAACATGTTTCCTGTGCACACTGTCATGCGCCAAATATTTATCCGTCCGAAGGATCTATCCAAGGTCAACGACTCAAATGTCATTCATGCCACAAAACGCACCAGTATATACAGTGTCCCCTTTGCCATAAGGGTAATATATGGAAAGACTGTAACTATAGCCCGGGTAGTATTGTTGCTTGTTGGTCATGCAAACAAACTTATGCACACATGCGTTGTCCGCACTGTGAAATATCGAATTTCTGGAATAACCCGCAGAATACTATGCTTTCTTTTGTATGTTCCCATTGCAAAAAGGACATGTGTGCTGCAAATAGCGGACCAAAGTCTGCAGTCAGAAGAAATAGTATTGTCAACAACGATAAAAAGTGTTCATCCGTCTCTTTGGATAGAGTTCATCGAAATCTCACTGACTTGAACCTTGGTCGAGACAGAGAACGAGCAAGATCGTCCTGGCGACCAAATAATAATCGGTTAGAGTTTTACAATAGTAGAGCTGAATCTTGTCGTCCGCGAAAGGTCTTTACTTGTACTTATTTCGATGAATGCAAAGAATATGTCAAGCAACTCGCTTGGCCGCTTACATTCTTCGTGGAGAAGCATAACCGCTGATATTGTTCATCTTGTTACTCGAATGATCTGCCAAATATATCACGAGTGGCAGATGCTGACTATGTTGTACCTCGTGGTTGGGCTGGATTTGGGCTTGGAGTGGACCCGTTTCGCAGTGATGATCTTTGGAGCACGTTGATCGTGGTCTATCATGGAACAACTGCGCTGGCAGCTCAATCAATACTCACTCATCGTCAGTTTTTACTGCCAGGTGATCACTTGCTTGACGGAACTGAGTTAGCCATTCGTGCCGGGCACATTCCCGGCAAAGTTCATATTTACACATCTCCGTCAATTCGTTATGCAAGTCTTCATGTTTATAGTCAGGTGAATTCCTTCAAGTCTCCAAAGATAAAAAAACTTTATAAAGTTCAAATCGTGTTGCAGTGTAAACAAATGCCTGGCACATTTAAAACTCAAAAGGAAACAGTCGGCTGGGGTGATAAGCGTATTTGTAATACCATTCCAAATGAAGTTATTGAGCACTTTACCAATCGACGTTCATCGGTTATTCCTTACCGCTTACTCATTCGTCTTGAGAATACTTAATGTTCAAATAAAACTTTAACTTATGGTGGAGTAACCATCTTGAGAGTGGATGTAAGTGTAAGTAAAGAAGAGACATTCACATCTACATCCGCTTATGTTTCATGACACCTGAGTTTTTATAATTCTGCTTACTTTCTTTCTGTTATTTTGTTTTTTGAAAAATATTTATTTTGATATTCAAATATTTTTCACGATATCTTTGTCAATAGACAAGATCGATAAGAGAAGGTAAATATGTGGATGTAAATGGCTGAGAATGAGATCGACATCTTCATCCACACTATCAAGATATATAACCAAAAAATGGTTTATTTTCGAATAAAATATAATTCAACTGATCGGAATAATGGAAAACTAACTGCTGTAAAAACAAAACCAAGTTCAAGACTAACATCTGCACCTTGTTCACCACTATCACCTGCAATAGCTTTTGCAATCGATCCAGTAAACCAAGTTTGTGTCATTCCAAGTGCAGTACCAACAGCACCTACTAAACCTGATAATATTGCAGCTATACCTATTGATAAGCTTTTACGATTATTCCAAATATCAAAATTATAATTTTTAAATGAATACCGTCGAAATAGAATATGTTCTTCTACCACAATAACAACAAATATTACTGACCAATACGATGTTAAACTTAGAAGTGATGTTAATGAATCATTAAATTTATTTGCAGCAACAATAGCTAATAGAATATATATTATAGTACCAACAACTGTATATAAAAAGCGTGGTATGCGTTTAAATATTGATGCAATAACTTGTGCGGATAATGACAATGAATAAATATTTAGTATATTACAACCAACAGTTGATAATGCAAATAAAAGAAGTAAAAATTTACCAAAAACTCCAAGAGATAACAGACTAGCACCTAATAATCCGCCAACACTATTGATTTCATATGCATAATTCCAATCTTGATTGGTATATGTACCTGTATACGCAGCTGCTCCAAGTAATTGTAGAAGAGCCATCGGTAGGAAATTACCGATATAAGTAAGAATGAAGATTTTTAATTGACTTGTATCTTCAGAAAAATATGTATTATAATCAGCTGCACATGTACACCAACTAGACGAAATACTAAAACATGTTGCTCCAAAACTAAGAATACGAGATATTTGTGCACGACGACTACTACTATTGTTCAATGTTGTTGCATTGATAGATACCTATAGGTGATGTACATATATTTTATATTTTATCCACTTAAATATGAATACATTATTTTTATCAAACTTTCTTCTTAACAAAACTTCTGTTTCTTTTTTTCAGAAATCGATTATATCTAAGAATAAGATTCGCTATACTATTTGAAAATCTAACCATTGTAGAAGATGTAAAATATGTTGCACCAACTCCTGCTAATATACAATATGCTATAAATACTGGTATCCATGAATATCGTTCATAAATATGAAGCCATTTATAACCAACAAATGAGACGATCATTGATATGATAGAAATAATAATTATACCAACAGCCATCGGTATTGAATCATTAAATACAACACGTAATGTTTGTGCACCTGTTATACTACTTATAGCCGCCCAACCAAGTGCCACAATAATACTAAAAATTGACATTATCGAAGCACCATAATAACCCCAACTGTAACGAGAATAGACCATTGTACGTAGACCCGATGCTGGACCAAAACAGGCTATAGCTGCTACTGGAATAATACCAAGTAAAGTACCAAAGATGATGGTTACAAATGACTCATAGAGACTTAGTTTGAATAGTGCTGGACCAAGTATACCACTAGCAAAACTTGGTATAATTATGTTTGCACCAAACTAATAAATATAAAATCGATTAATTATCCTCACTCAACCCCCTCCCCCCAAGATATCTTACCCACATCATTGCTATATTGATAGTTTTGCAATCGGTACGCTCTTCTAATAATATACGTTCAATACCACGTGTTTCTATATCGATACAATTATATTTTTTAAGCATTGTTTTAAAAAATTTAGTAAATGATTTGAATTTTCCACATGAGAGATTAGTTGTCGAATTAATATTGTAATTATCATCATTCGTATGAATATCACTAAGTTCAACTTCCTGTTGGTTTGCAACTGAAGATTCGACAGGAAATATTGTTGATATATGTAAATTATTTTGCATTTTCAAATTCTATCTAAATAATTATAATCATATCTTTGCTGAATAAAAGATATAATAGATACGAATCGTACCTTTTATAATGGATGCTTTTTATTGCGAACAGAGCAACAATATGTAGAAAATAATTAAATAAGAAATACATTTTCATCTCTTCGTTGTTTTAGCCTTTCGTTTCTTATTTTTTATTTCTTCTTCTTTTTCACATTTGTTATTCTTATTCTTTAAGTACCTATTCGTCTCTCTAAATAGAAACTAATCCCATCGTGATTATCATGGGTATATTTAAAAAAATGTCTTGTATTTATGATGCCTTCATTTCTTTTCATATAGTACATGCACTTTCGTTTGTAACATTTTTATCGAGGATAATAAAAAGAAAATCTTTTTTTGTTTGCCCTAACATTTATACGAGAGTAAAACATATAAAGGCTAAGTTTCAAATCAAAGTGACCATAAATAAAATATACTTATGTATGTAGATGTCAAATTGAAATATCTAAGATCCACTTCGTACATTAGAATTTTAATAAACAGTTTCAGTACTAATATTCAAAAAAAGAAATGATCTGTTGCGTTTTGATTTTCATTCAGTACATTATTATTTATAATTTTATCTGTATTAAAATTTGATGATGTCGTTTGATCAATAATATCTTGACTGGTTTTTTATCATTATCTTCAGCTAATATTAATTTTATTTTTCGTTGTTTCGATGAACTAGATGAATAGAATATCTTTATGCATATCACAATAGTATGTTTTTATTTGTTAGAGTGGAGTCGCTATTGCAAGCTTATTAAATCAAAACTATTGAATAACGGTACTGCGCACTGTAAGCTTTATCTGCAAATTGTAATGTATCTGATACTAGAAAAAAATATTTGAAAATTAAACAAGAGCATAAAAATGAGTAAAAAGAAAGATGATGACATCAAATGCTCTGTCAGAAATAGTTCGAATTGAAACATTATATATGAAGCAAATTAGAATAAAATGCAATATAGTTAACTAATAAGGTAAAGATAAAGTACCAGCCCTAGTGATAGACTCAATACCTTGCTGCGAAAAAGAACATATCTTTCTGTTTTTGATCTCTAGATTTTAAATAAGAGTATGTGTTGAATATGCTACGAATACAATATGAAGAAATTGCACTGTTTTTGTCTTTTTTACAATCATCTATATTAAAATGATATTATACTTTTTTTCTTTCTTCTGTAATTTCTTATGGATCAAAAATTAACAATAACCATCAATATCGCAAATATTTAAAAAAAATTACAATGCATTTCATTGAGTGTCGTTATTGTCATGAATCAAAATCATTCATGTTTATATAACTGACAAGAATTTGAATTAAAACAAAAAAATTTAAAATGCAGATCGTTATTCTTTTCTTTTCTTTTTAACAAAATGTAGCCATACAAAATAACACATGATCAATAGACATTATTATAAAGTAAAAGAATGAGAAAAAAAAATTTGTTAAGAAATTTAATGCATTACACTAACGACCAACAGCGTCAAGAAAAAAAAATACACAGTTACTCAATTTGTATGATAATTGTGTTAATATTGAAAATAACAAATGAAATATTTCGTTAGGCTATAAAACAATTAGACATGACCCAAACCCAAACTGTTTGGGTTTGATGAGTTTGGGTTTGAGTTTGGGTTTGTGCTTTTTTTAATCTGTAAAAGGAACTATTTTGATTAAATTTATTGCAGTTAAAAGTAGACCCAAACCCAAACTCAAACTCAAACTGTTTGGGACTTTGGGTACCAAACGCGAACCCAAACTCAAACCCAAACTCATGAACCCAAACTTAAACTCCCAAACGGTTTGAATTTGAGTTTGGGTTTGGGTCATGTCTAAAAACAATGATAGAAGATCAATCGAATATTTTCCTATCTTTTGATGAATTTTGTGTATAGAATGAATATATTTTCACTTTTCTATATAATTGATAGATCGAAAGCAATGAAATAATTCATTATGTCATATTACAGTAAAACTTTATCGATATTATTGATTAATTTGCACATTTTTTAATAACATTTCATAGCGATCTTTATTAATGACATAAAAATTACATATTTAGTTCGAGATTCAATAATTTTGACCTTTGATAATATATTGAAACTATTAGAAAATGAGATTGTAGTATTATAATGCTGGAATCCTTACATATATAAAGTCTCAAATTTTTACACTGTTTATATATTGTTATAAAACAAAAATTAAAGAAATAAAGATATTTTTTAACAGATAAATAAAGTCAAATAAAGGTACAAGGAACAATATCGGTAACTTTTATAACTATTATAACTATATACATTCATATTTATTTAAAAAATGTATATTCTATCGAAGAAATAAATTCATCAATTTCTGTTATTGATCATAAGCATAAACATTTTAATGAAACGGGGTACAATTGCGAACATCGATTTCTTCAATGTACTGAGAAAAATAATAAACATATTTTTTGGTGACGTCGTTTAATAAAAAAGTACGTTGAGACATTGGTATGTGACATTTTGTTTCCAAAGCTTTTTCAAGAGAAGAAAATATGAATGCAGGTACTTTAAAAGCATGACAAACACAAAATTTATTTTTTTCTACAGTGATTTTAGCATTTTGTGGGTACTGCATGTACAATGATGTTCTGTTCTCTGTTACTTTCAGTATTTTTCTCTTTCCGTTCTCTGATAGTTTTAGTTTCAATTGTTCCCTCAAGCTAGGAGAAATGTATTCGCTACTTGCCCACACAATTAGTAGTCCTACTCGCATATATATATATAAGCATAGCATACATTCAATAATCTACACCACAAACTAAAATATTACAGTAACAATGATCTACCAACAACTGTATTGTGCTTTCTACGTGTTTCTATGTATGATCAACTTGCCAAATGTTCAATCAACAGCATCGAATTCATTATCGGATTGTCAAGCAGTGGCTTCACAATTTCGAACAACAATTAATTATACAGCCACTACTATTACAGGGACTACTGGCGTTAATGTCAGCTGTTCAGCCAGTGGTATTGTATGTCCGGGTACAACTATCAATGGTGTTTGTGTATGGCAACGAAAATTAAGTGCTGTTTGTCGAAATGCTAGTGGTGTTATTAAAATTCGTATTCAAACAAATGGTTAACCTCCACGTTGTGCTAGTGTGCCATCGAGCACTTTTGCTGAATTAAATGTTGATTTTGAAGTTAACTTTAATCCTGATGTTAGTATTAATTCACTAAATTCAGATCTAACCACTGTTGCTTCACTGTCACAAACAATCTGTACAACAAGTAGTGTATCATCAGTTCCATCAGCTTCCGGCTATGTTAATTATGGTGCAACAGGTTTGGATACTGCAACAGGAGTAGCAGTAGACGGTGTAATGATGTTTACTTCTGATTCAGCAAATAATTATGATCCGTTTTTTCCACCATCAGGTGGAACTGCTGAAACAGTAGATAGCTGTCTTGCTCATTGTCAAACGGCCGGTATATATCATTATCATATTGCTACTGGTTGTCAAGTTAATCCTCCAACAGGAAATATTTCATCATGTGCTGCTGTCAGTGCTTGTAATTCAAATATTGCTACCTATTCTATATCTTCATTTTCAAGTTATCAAACAAAGACAGTAATTGGTGTTGCCAGAGATGGACATGTTATTTATGGTCCTTATCTATCTTCAGGTACTCGAGTAACAACAGGTTTTGATGTTTGTAATGGAATGTTTTATGATTCTATTGGTAATTATGCTTATTTTGCTACATCAACATATCCATATCTTGTTGGATGTTTTGGACCAGGAAGTTATTCATCATTTGGACCCAATTGTACTACTAATGGAGTATCGACCTATAATATGTCATCTTATGCGATCTCATTCTTGAGTAGTAATTCTACTAATTCAACTACTGCTTCAACAACAATGGTAACAAACTCAACTACAGCTTCGACAACAAGAGTAACTAATTCGACAACAGTCCATCATTCGGCTTCAATAAGTGGTCGAATCAATCTTGATACTGGTCTTATTCTTTTACTTATTACCGTCTGGATATGTTTATATCAAACAATTATTTGAACTATGATATTTGCTTCACTCATAACATTTTCGCGTCTATTTTATCTACTAATAATAGTCCATTTAACAAAATAAATTTATGAAACTAAATAAAATAAAAACATAATATCTTTAATTAAAATGGAAATAATAAGTAGCTAGAGGATATATAGATGATGTACGATCAGAACGAGAACGTGAATGACTATATTATATTCATGTTCTACTTAGTCGTCTGTGTCTATACTCTCAGGTTTATTAAAATCACGCATATTTATTATTAAAATTAAAAAAATGCTATAGAAAAGACACTTTATGATGTTATTCGTTGTTTCTTTTTTCGTATTGCTAATCGAATAAGTCGATAGAACATTTCGAAGAGTTCCATAATTGATAAAAGACTAATACCAAGCCATAGTCCAGTTTGTCCTCCAATATTTGAAAGAACATCAATGAGATTGATTGATGCTTGTTGTATATTACTTTCAACAAAATATGTTCCTTGTACAACACTGACTGCAACATAATTTGTGTAAATATATTCTGACCATGTAGTTGACCAATCTGAAGGTAATGGTATTAATGAATTTTCAACAAATGTTTTAATTCCATACAATTGCCATGGCATTGGTGTTAGTAATGAAGATTTTTTTGTTATAAAATCTACTATTGAACATTCTGCTGGACAATTTAGATCATCATTGTTTAAATCAGCTAATGAATTTATATATAATTCAACAGCTTTATTGAAACATGGATCAGTTGTATTGCAAAAAGGTGCAAAAATGGTTTTCTTTGTATGTGGTAAAATAATCGAACGCATATCCCAAATGTAAGGATTAACACATCCACATTTTTCATAACTTAAATTACAACATATACATATATTCGTATCGAGATATATTTTTGTCTAATAATACTTACGTGTAAATCTGTACACTAAGTTTAGTACAAAGAGTTTGTGAATATTGATAATCCAAATTCGGATAATTTTCATACATAGCTTGCATCCAAAGATCAATTTTATCATTACATGATGTATATGGTGATTGTAAAAAAGAAGTTTTTTTCTTTTTATAACTAAGTTTATGTTTTTGTCTAGGAATTAAATTTAAACCTGTTGTATCTATAACTGGCACTTCAGTATTGTCATGTATAAGTGTTACAATACCAACACCTGAATACAAAGAGAAAAAATACTTATAAAATTTAATTTGAACAAATTACTATCTGTAAGATAAGGAATATATTGATGACTGTGTACATAAAAAGCTAATTCAAGTGTTCCTGTACCTCCATTATCAGATACATTTCGTATATTCTCAGAAGTTTCATTTTTTAATTTTGCATTAAATGTATAACAAAAACCATAGGGTGCTGCTATAAATGGAACAAAATCTGTTGCCGTACATGTTACAGAATTATAAGTACATGAATATAACATCGAAGGGAGTGGAAAGAAAAATGGTTCCAATGATCCATTATTATTAAGTAAATCATTTACAAAATTGAAAAGATAAGGTATTTGTTCTGGAAAAATTGTTGATGTATCGTTTGTATTCGTTATATTTAATGTATTTGTATAATTTAAAAATGGTTGTATAAATTTATCGAAACGTAATCCTCCAGCATTACAAATAGTAAATGCTGGAAAATGTTGTGGAAATTCTGCATCAATACTTATATCTATTTGTGTTGGATAATTCAGATAATCAATTATTGCTTTAATAATAAAATATGTCATAAGACCAATAAAACAGAGTGTTGCAAATAACCAATATAGACGATTATATTTACTTACACTTTCAGAAATACGTGGTATTCCATGTGCTGTTGTATTTGAACTAAATTCATAGATAATCGAGAAATATCTATTAGACTTCTTTTGATTTTTTATTATTTTATCATCGCTTGGATGTACGATTGATGTGTGATTGGTTGTGTCTGACATAAAAGAATGATTTTCTAAATATGAACAATATTTTATAAAACAAGTAACACTCGCTCAGCTCTTTCTTTAAAGAACCGCTTTTTATCTACAAAATGGTTCTCTAAAAAAATTTTCAAAAAAACTAACATCAGATTCGTGTTCCTCGATCCCGATTACCCTTCGGTCAAAGTTTATAGAAACCAGTTATTATTGAATCAAGTATAAGACTTGAATATTGTGTATTAATGACACGAAGATCAAAAAAATGTTTCGTTTAATAATCTATAGAAAACAAAATTGAGTGTAAATATTTAATTGCACTTTGTATTTAAAAGATATGTATATGTGTAGTAAAGTAATGCTTCATCATATATTGACAAAAAGAAAAGAAATCTATTGCATATGAATTAAATAAATCCATAAAAATATATAGGTATGTATAATGTATGTTTATAATACATTTAATGGATATTTATTTTTTTCTTTAGCTAGTAATTATTTTTCATACAAAAAAATGTAGGACGAAAATATGAAGTATTTTCATGAAGTCCAAGTAAAAGACTGGTACTTATAAAAAGAAACAATATGTTTTTTTTGTATTGAGAAGATTTTCTGAAAAATATTTTATTATAAATGTGTAGGTAGAAAGTAATTTGGATGATATTGATAATAAGTGCAGACTAGTTTCTGTTTTTGACAAATAAATAAGATGATGACGACGACGCAGATAGAATCTTATTTCAAACTGTCATGCCAGATATCACCATATATATATATCGTCATTCTAATATATTACAACTACACAAAATAAATATTCTAACAATGTCTACAGCATCATTTACTAGCATCGATACGTATTTTAGCATTTATTTCGGTTTGCCTATTTTTGCTTTTGGTTTTATTGGAAATATAATTAATATTTGTATTTTATTCTCCACACGATCAAATTCATCTTCATTTTTATTACTTATTTCATCAATTTTCAATCTCATTGCATTATCCTTTGGTCTTTTTCCAAGAATGATATCTATAGGTTTTGGTATAGATGCATCGTCAACCAATATTTTCTGGTGTAAAAGTCGTTTATTTTTTTCTTATATTGGTTCTCTTATGGCTCTAACAACAATTTGTTTTGCTTCTATTGACAGATTTTTATTAACTTGTCGAAATGTACAATGGCGAAAACGAAGTCAATTGAGTACAGCAAAACTTGCCATTTCTATTGCTATTCTAGTAGTTATTGGTCATAATATATCATATTTAATTTTCTATACAATTGTTGAAGTCAAAACAACAACAGGTAACATATCAACGAAATGTTCTGTAATGAATTCTGGCTTTGTATTATATGGAAGTTATTTTTTACGTCCTGTTTTTCTTGGTGTATTACCAGGTACAATATTGATTATTAGTGGTTTTCTAACATATCGTAATATAACATCAATAACTGCTGTTCAAGTACGCGGTACATTCCAAAGAGGTTTAACAAAAATGATATTGTTACAAATTATTACAGTTATTATTCCAATAGTACCTTTTGCAACATTCAATATCTATCAAAGTATAACATCATCAGTTGTAAAAGCATCCTATCGTTTAGCACTAGAAACATTAGTTTCAGATATGACTAATATATTCTTATATGTGAGTTATGCATGTAATTTCTATGCGTATATTATTTCATCATCATGTTATCGACAAGATTTCCTACGATTTATTCGCTGTTCAGATGAAGCTCATTCAAATAATCGTATTGGAGTTTTGACAAGACAGAAAATTGAAATGAATACTGGTTCAACCTTGAGGCAACTACCACGTTCAATTAATCAGATGCAGAACTAAAATGACAAGAAATTAATATGGTTGTAACACTCAATGTATAATCAAATTGAATATATTTTTTTGAGAATTAAATGGCGATGCCACAAACATAAAGTTAACAGGCATATTTTGCTTTTGACATTTCTTTTAAATATCAGCGTTATTATTGTGTCGAGATTCATTCGTTAACTTTGTAGTAAATATTTGATTGAAGGAAGTTAATCATAATAAAATGCTTTTACTATCAGAGACCACTTTTGTTTTATGCAATCCAAAAATGATTACCGTTGATAAGTTCTTGATGCCTTTCATGGCTAATATACTTTGTTACAAAATAGGAGGAAATAGATACTTTCATGTGATGTCAGTACTTATGCAATATTTAGTGAAACGAGTTACTTTTCTAAAAAACGAGGTATAATTTTTTTTTTTATTTTTTTTGGCTATAAATTAAACATGAAAAGTATCGAGATTAACACAGAAATAGAACTAGTTGACAAGCAATAATTAACGATGGTAAATTCACTAGCCAGTCGGTTCACCAGATTGGGTATAATCATTATCACTGTTCGCAGCATCTTCATCAGATTCATTTTTAGGGAGTTCAGATTCAATTTCTTCGATTAGTTTATTGATCTCTTTCATTTTTTGGCTTTCTTTCACAGGTCGAGGTTTATCTGTAGATATATTCTGGTCCATTTTATCATACTGATGCCAAAGTCTCTTTGCCCAGTGCAAACGTTGAAGTGCTCCTTCTATATCAGTGTCTTGACGGAGTCGTTTACATCGCTCAATAAAATATTCAGCAATATCACGAGTCATACGTTGTAACAAATCTGCATCGAAGTTAAATACTTGAATGTAGTCTAAATAATCCATTGTCCACTCTAATTGAAATTCAATATTATGACAGTAAACATACACCGATGAATATGGCTTATTATTGATTGGATCAGTAAAAATATTTCGATATTGTTCAATAACTTTCGGTACAGTGTGTTCTCCCAATTTTCCAGAAGTAATAAAGAAGATGTGCTTATCTTGGTTTGCTTCAAAAGCTTTTAAGCAATCTTTTTCGTTGTCAAATGCTTGCAAAAGAAATTGTACACCTCCGAATGATACTGTTACGGCATCATCCTCAACCAACATATTATGGTAATCCTCGTCATTGAGCATAGTCCACGTTTCGCAGCGTGGATCTGTGTTACTTCCAAAGGCTTTTTTTAAATGTGTATATTCTTTTGGATTACCGATCGAGGCATCGAGCCAAAAGATCATATGGTTGGGTTTTTTATGATCATGATCTGCTGGTATATCAAGAGGAGATTGTGCCATTACTATTATCTAGAAATAAATAAAACCTTGATATTATTAAAAATAAAATAATAAATAATTTTGATTAAAGTTTGAATGTGAATTGATTTTACAACATTATCATTGAATTTTGTGAAATAAGATTAATATAAGTATAAAGAGTTAGAACGATAGAATTAATTATAAATATTACTCATTCGATAATACTTGGAAAAAGCCAATTCTTTAATCACTACGGAATCTCGTGTAATGACGGCAATAAAATTCTATTGGCCACACTATATACATCAATTAGTGAAAAAATATTATAGAGGGCAGACGTAATCGAAGAAATAAATGTTGAAGATTCTCATGTGTCTGATTTTTATTGTCGAATAACATTTATATTCAATACCAGTTGATATAAATTATTTTAAAACATCGATCATTTTTATTTGTTTGTGTTCTTCACTAGTGAGATTACTAAATAAGAAATCTTGCTTAACTGCAGATGATATTTGTTTGATGATATCCACTCATGTGAAACACTTGGAAGTACCATTTACAAATATGAATGAAACCATAATTACTACTGAATGACTTGGACGTTTATTAAGTGCTGAATTCTACTACAGTGTACGCCTAGTTGGAGCCAGTTTCATGATTGGTATCAAATAGAAAAACAAGGTATATCAGACCAAACAGAAGATTCTTTCCTGATTATATGGTTTAAAAAGAACAGGGTGCAGTCAAATCAAGTGAAAGTTGATAATAAACTGACTGAATTCGCTGATGGTCATCATCTTTTTTGATCAAATCATACACTGAACGATAGCATTTATTTCATTTTAGAAAAATATCAATCTTACAATTGTGTATAGTTTGCTGCATGCTTTCTTAGTGAATCTATAATTCAAAAGAATAAAAAAACAAGAAGTTGATTCTTTTATAAGAATACAAGATAGCATTCGAATTCTATTCATCAGTGCTCTAAAGCATATTTATTTTTCTTTCTTTCTAAAAGTAACATTTAACGGATGGAAATGAACTCTCTTCAGCTTCTGACGTAAATTGGTACGTTAAAGTTATTGTTCCTGGCATACTGAATGTAGTCTGCGTTTCTATTACACTCAGTGGACGCTTGGGATCAGTTCTGGACGAGTATGCAGTTAAAGTTTCATGAGTAATAATTTCGAAGCTGACCGGATGAGTTTGACACTTATTATCGTATCTTTGCATTTCGACATTTGACCATCCTGCACAATTAGCTGTTAGAAATTGGATATTGACACACTCACGCGTATTCAAATCTATGTTCGCTTGATAATAGGTGCTGTTTGTGAAAGAAACTTTATAGGTTATGCCGTATTCTGATTCAAACAAATTACGATATCCAATTATTGTTGTCAAATCTGGAGCAAGAATAGCTTGCACTGTATACTTGCTAGGGAGTCGCATAGCTCCCATTACAAGATCGTAGGCCCAAGTAAAGGTAACACCAGGTGGTGGTAGCATGTGTTCAGGAAGAAATAGAAGGGGTTTTCCATTTGCTTGACTTCCAACTAGAAGAAGGAGTAGTAAAGTGAATACAGTGGTACTCATCTTGTTTTCAAATAACGAGCGTATAAGAATGTATATTCGATTATATATATTTCGATTTAATCTCTCTTATCTATTACAGCTGCTTCTGTTCTCATAAACATGGTACTGATAAAAACATTGTCATAATACACGTACCAACATTTATTTTCCGTGTTTTACTTAAACGCGTGATACTTAGGAAATCGTCCTCCTCTTTTTAACCAATAATATGATATCGTAATCTATTGCGCTGCAATCCAGTAAATTTATACACTTGATGAAAGAATTAATAGCAAATCGCTCTGTTCTTTGTCAGATGACCACCAATTCACTGCAGAAAAAATCAACATATAGAATAGTTCTTTTTTTCTTGAAATTAGTTTTATAATTCAAACTTATTAACCTGACTATAAAAGCAACTTCGAAAATGTTTTAAGTTCTTTCAGTTTTATTTTATATTGAAATACGTCAAACTGAAAAGCAATTTGAAGAATTTAATTTATTTACAGAGATTATGTTGGTCGACTATATAACGATATAATATGAAAGGTTCGTATTAAAAATTAATTTTTTTTTTAATATCTTTATTTATTATATTTATTTTTATATATTAAACATGAAAAACGAAGATGAAAATATGTTACTTATAATTGAGATTATTGTTTGAGTCAACCTAATATTGACGTTCTTTGATCTTTTCGGCAACGATTTTCTCCGAATATTCCCACCATTCACGAGCTTGTTCAGGATTTTCTGC